GCCTCACTTTCTATTCAGCTCCCTGCTTGTGGCCTGGGAAAGCAGTCAAGGATGGCTCAAAGCCTTGGGATCCTGCACCCGTGTGGGAGACCTGGAAGAAGCTCCTGGCTCCTGGCTTTGGATTGGTTCAGCTCATGTGGTCACTTGGGGAGTGAATCACTGGACAGAAGATCTTCCTCTCTGTATATATCTGATTTTGCAATACAAATAAATATTTTTTTAATCATTTATTTATTTATTTATTTTAAAGATTTATTTTTATTATTTTTTATTGGAAAGGCGGATATACAGAGAGGAGATACAGAGAGGAAGATCTTCCGTCCGATGATTCACTCCCCAAGTGAGCGCAACGGGCCGATACTGGGAGCTGGAAGGGAAGCGGGGCTGCCGGGATTAGAACCGGCACCCATATGGGATCCCGGGCGTGCAAGGCGAGGACTTAACCACTTGCGCCACCGCGCCGGGCCCTAAACCATTTTTTTAAAAAGGTTTGAGTCACTACATTCTTAAAAAACAAAACAAACGAACAAACAAACAAACAAAAAGGCTAAAAAAAAAGTGTGTGAGGAGCCATCCAGGCTCTAGCCATCACACCCATGCAGCACGTGGGCCTTGCACACAGCAGTTCGAGCTGTTTGAGCTGTGGCACCACGATGCCTGCCCCTGGGGGCACCTTTCTAAGGGGCCTCACCTGAACCATGGGGCAATGCATCCTGAAATGTGTATGATGGAAGCGGGGGTTGGTGCAGTGTTTAAGCAGCCACCTGGGAATGACTGCACATTGTCCTGTCTGGATTCAAATCCAGGCTTTGCCCAGACTGTAGCTTCCTGCTAACCGGAATTGTGGCAGGCAGGAAGTGAGGACCCGGGAGTCTTGGGTTCCTGTCACTTACAACTTGAGTTGTAATTCTGGCTCTCAGCTTTGGGGAATGAACTCTCTCTTTCAAATAATAATAAAGAAAAATTTCCATGGTTTTAGGACAACACAGCAGAGAAAGATAATGACTTATGTTTCTGGAGGCTGCCAAGTAACGCTTGCTCGGATCACAACCCCCACCCCGGCCCTGGGCCTAGGGAAAGCAGCTGGCTGCGGCCCGTGACTCCTACCTGCTCCCTCCTCATATGCGGGATGGACTTAGTCTGAGTCCCCAGGCTGCCCGATGCATGCGTCAGGTACGTACACTGGGGGGAGACACCAGGCCAGCTCTTCTCAGCGGCTGTGGGTTAGGAACGCCTTCTAGCAACGTCCAGCCAGCCACGGGACTAGAGTTGGAGAACGAGGCAAGGAAGGGAGTGCTTGGCCTCCTCCAACTCTGCGACAGGCTTGTCCTGCTGCAGCCACCCAGTCCCCCAGTGAGGATGACAATGGCAGCTCTGCTGACCTCACAGGGGCACTGCCAGGGTAACCTCCCTGGGACAGCTTTCACTGACAACCCCCAGCCCCAGCACGTCTTCTCTGCTCCCACTGCCCCTGTGGATTTGTTGCTGCTTTTTTTTTAAATTATTGATTTATTTATTTGAAAGGCAGAGTTAGAGAGAGAGAGGAAGGGAAAAAGAGAGACAGAACTCTTCTATTCACTGGTTCACTCCCCAATGGCCACAATGGCTGGGGCTGGACCAGGCCAAAGCCAAGAGTCTAGAACCTCAACCAGGTATCCCACAAGGGAGGGGCCCAAGCACTCAGTCCATCCTCCACTGCTTTCCCAGGCACAATGATGGGGAGCTGGATCGGAAGCAGAGCAGCCAGGATTTGAACCGGTACCCATAGAGGATGCTTGCGCTACAGGCAGTGGCTTTGTGACTATTTTTCTCTACCTGCTCTAGTCTATGAACTCTAGGAAGGCAGGAGTTGGCTGAGCTTCTTCGGATGGGTCCCTGTCCACAACACGTGGCACATGGCAGGCACTCAACGCCCACCTGCCTTTGACAGAGTGAATGGATCCTAGCGGGCTCTGGACACACACTGAGCTGGCTGCTCCAGCAGAGTTGGGACTTCGTGGCTCACGCCAGGGAAACTTCCCCACCTGTGGCAGTAACATGGTGAGGTCCAAACCAGGGAGGGTGCGCTGCCTACAGGCTGGTGAGATTTTGCAGTGGAAGTGATGGGACTTGGTGCTGGTGGTAACATCATCCCAAAATTCTGCTTTTGAGAGCTGGGCCTCACCGCCTTCCCGGCTGGAAGTTCCTCTGACTCCGCGGGCCCGATGCCTTCACGCTGAGACTCCCGTATTTTCCTTTAGTTGTTCAGCACACACTGAAGCCAGGAGCCACAGCATGGGAGAGAAACCTTGCTGGTCTCTCTTCAGGGCATTGCTGATTCAGAGAATGTGGCCATGTGAACACACACACACACACACACTCCAAGCCAGACCCTCAGCTGCTGTGCACAGGACTGGACAGAGGCGGGGCTATGGCCACTCCCTGGGGAGGCTCACAGTCAAGTCTGGGGAGCCAAGAATGCTGAGAATGTGAGAGCACAGATCATCCAAGGGGCTCCCTTCCCCTCTGTTCTCAATTTTTTTTTTTCCAGGGAGTTCTGTCTCCACTGCTCAAAGACCTTTGGAAAATAAGAGAAAGAAGAAAGAACTAGAAGGAGGCACTCTCATTTCTTGGGCAACTTGTCAATTTCTTCCTCCAAGGGGAGCATCTTGGTAGGGTGCCGGAGTCTGAGGCTAATTTGGGGCCATTTAGGGAGTGAACCAGAGGATGGAAGATTTTTCTGTCTCGCCTTTTCTCTGTTGCTCTTTCTAGTAAAAATAGATAAGTATTTTAAAAAATTTTAGGCCTGGCACGGTAGCCTAGCAGCTAAAGTCCTCACCTTGTACGCACCAAGATCCCATATGGAAACTTGTTCTAATCCCGGCTGCCCAGCTTCCCATTCAGTTCTCTGCCTGTGGCCTGGGAAAGAAGTTGAGGAGGCCCAAAGCCTTGGGGCCCTGCACTGCGTAGGTGATCCAGAGGAGGCTCTGGGTCCTGGCTTCGGATTGATGCAGCTCAGGCTGTTGCGGCCACTTGGGGAGTGAATCAATGGATGGAAGGTCTTCCTCTCTGTATATCTGACTTTACAATAAAAATATATAAATCTTTTTAAAAAAATTGTAAGAGTACAGGAGCAAGTGGACCGGTGCCACCTGCCTGCTATGGTCCATAGGCTGGTGTGAGTGCTAATGAAGGCTTTGATGTAGGCACAGCTGCAGCCTCAGGCCTTCCTGGACCAGGCTGCTGTACCCACCAGCATATGTCAGAGCCAGGGCTGGAGGGGTTGGGTTTGGGCCAGGCTAGGGACCTGAGGAGCCGGTACTCCAGGGCCCCCTGGTCCAGGCTGCACCACCCACTGTTGGAAAGATCCACTAATGACTTCCTTCCTTTTATGATGGCATCAGAAACATCAGGATTTCGGATTTTAGGGAACAGAACTTGTGGCTATGTGATCTGGCCTTGGCATACAGGTTGCATAATTAGACCATGAATATTGCCGACTCCCAAGAAATAAAGCCAACAACATCTCAGAGTAATGATGACGTTCTGAAGGACTTTGCTATTGGTCCTGAATGCCAGTTCTCCATAACAGGGATCACTAGATGAGACAGAGCCTAGTGAAGACGGCTCAGTGGCTAAATCCTCGCCTTGCATGTGCCAGCATCCCAGATGGGCCAGATTATGTCCGGGCTGCCCCACTTCCCACCCAGCTCCTTGCTTGTGGCCTGGGAAAGCAGTATAGGTTGGCCCAAAGACTTGTACCCAAGTGGGAGATCTGGCAGAAGCTCCTGGATCCTGGCTTCAGACTGGCTAAGTTCAGGCCACTGCAGCTGGTTGAGGGAGCGAACCAACAGACAGAAGATCTTCAGCAACTGCAACACTGATTCCCACATACAATCCTCGCACTTGCAGGTAGAGGGTTAGCCTGTTGAACCACAATGCCAGTCCCCTCGGCTGAACTTTTTTTTTTAATTAAAAAAATAACTAATTAAATTGAAAGGAAGAGTTGGGGGGGGGGGATCTTCTGTCTGCTGGTTCATTCCCCAAAGAGATGCAGTGGCCAGAACTGAGCCTGTTAGAAGCCAGGAGCCAAAGCCATCCTCCACTGCATTCCCAGGCTATAAGCAAGGGGCTGGATTGGAAGTGGAGCAGCCTGTACTCAAACTGGTGCCCACACATGGAATACCAGCACCACAGGTTATGAATGTACAAGCTATGCCACAGTGCTGGCTTGTGGAATGTTTTAAAGAAAATTCTTTGAGAGACAGTGTGACAGAAAAAAAGGGAGTGAGAAGGGTGGGGAGAGAGAGATCTCCAATTTGCTAGTTCATTCCCCAAATGACCCTAACAGGTGTGTCTGTGCCAGCTGAAGAAGCCAGGAGCTTCTTCCAGGTCTTCCAGACAGATGGTAGGTCCTGGGGCACTTGGGCCACCCTCTGCATCTCTCCCGGTGCACTACCAGGAGCTGGGTCCCAAGTGGAGCTCCCAGGACTGCACCGGTGTCCCACGCCGTGGCTTAACCCTGGAAATCTTGGCAAGTTACTCTTGCTCCTAAATTTGACTTCTTAGCTTACAACTCTAGATCTCTAGGTTACCTGGGACACACAAGTGGGTTTCACTTCCTTGGCCTGTGGGGCAAGCAAAGATTACTCTAGAAACAGCTTCAGAGAGAGTCTTCCCGTCAGGGGACGGGTGGACATCCACTCAAGAGACAGAGCCGACTGGGCTCGGAGGTCAGGGGCGAGGCAGTGGGAAGGTAGGTGTTCCACAAGCAACTAGATCTGGGGTTACGATGCTGGGGGCGGTGGGGAGACCTTACTGAAGCCTTCGTCGGCCGCCCAGGGTACCTGGGAAATGGCGGAAGCCTCGGGAGGACCCGGTCCTCGGCCAACCGGTCAGAATGGGGAGCTCGGTCGCCGCATGTCTCCAGCAGAGGACGCACGGGCGAGGAGGTGCGAGAGTCCCGCCAGTTGCCGCTCCAGCCAGAGCTTGGTCATAGAGACGCTCCGCTTCCGGCCCCGCCGAGGGGGAAGGAGCCGGAAGTCCGGCGGGCTCCGGGCGTCGAGATGGAGGAGAGTGATTATGAGTCCGTGCTATGTGTGAAACCGGAGGTGCACGTCTATCGCATCCCGCCGCGGGCCACCAATCGTGGCTACAGGTACCCTCCGCCGCCGGACCTGCCCCCGTCCCCGGCAGCCCCGACACTCCCACCGAGGCAGCCGAGGACGGCCCTGATCAACGTGGGTGCCAGGGCGAGGAACAGCTGCGGCTTCTTCCAGGTCGAGGCTGGGGTGGGAGTCTGGGGACCCAGGGTGTCGGCTATCTCGGGGGACATACGAACTCTGGGCTGCGGGGAAGGTGTTAAGGTCGTGTTGGACGTTTGGGGAGCCCCCTTCTCCCCTACCACTCGTGGACGGTCAAGCACCCTGAACTTGGCAGTGGTGGGTGGGGGTGTCACAGAGCTTTGTCTTGCAGTGCCCGAAGCGGGAAGTGGGTTGGGAGCTTGGCTCGAAGCAGGGGCCTCCTCTCCGGCTTCAGCAGGTGGAGCAGCACTCCACCCCTCCACACGGCAGGCTTCCGCCAAGACAGGCTTGCAGGTGGCTCTCGGGGTGTCCCGGGAAAGAAACTGGGGTCTTCAGCGTGTGTGTATGTTCCCCGCTACGTGCGTTTCCTAGCACACACCTCAGGCCCTTGGACGCCACCAGGGGTGATGGGTTGAGGGGCGTGGCTCTTGGCGGAGGGGCGGGGGTTCAGGGTCCGCCCTGCCCCGCGAGAGCGTCCACCTGCCCCTTCTCCCCTCCCTTTCCCTGTTGTGTTGATCTGCGCTCATACACGACTAACTGCTGAACGGATATTTCATTCCACATAGTCACTGTTTCCATGACTTAAAATAGTACAGGAACAAATAGCAAAAGCACCTTTGCTTTCTGTGGTCCAGCTGGAGTTGGACCACACAAACCAGGAGTGGTCACCTCCCCACCCCTGTTGTGTCTGGCATGGAGTGAATGTTGGAGCCGGCTGGAGTGGCATGGTGGCATGGAGGCAACCATGGCCCCTGCACTTGTGCCTCGGAGTACCCCGTAGCCTGAAGCTAAGGCCTGCAGCCCACTAGGAGGAACTGAAAGTGGGGCTGCCGCCCTGTGAATTTGGAGTCAGCATGGGTGTGGCCCTCACAGCTGGCATGTGTGTAGGCACTTCCAGGAAGAGCCTGCTGGCAACACCCACACTTATCAGTACCCAGGGATTCCCGAACTGCTGCTGAGAACTGCAGAGGAGGAGCCACAGAGATGTCGCTTCCGCAGGCCCAGAGAGATGAATTCACTCTGTCGTCACACGTCTGGCCGCTGTCCTCCCCTCGCCCCTCAGCTGCTTCCCTTTCCCTTGGAGAAGGTCAGCCCAACCCAAGGGCCAGAGAGACCCCACAGTGCTTCCTCCACAACAGGAAGGCCGTCCTGTGTGGATGAGGTCGCCCTGGGCTAAGACAGGGACGTGCAAGGTGTGCCTCACTGGGTCTCTGTGTGACCCGCAAACGAAGGATGGATACTTTTACATTATCAAATGTCAGGAAGATTTTAAGGAAGAATATTTTATTGTGAAAATGGTACGCGTTGCAGACTTCCGCATCTGTGGTTCAGGAGGGGGTTGCCGTGGACAGATTTCCGAGTACCACACGTGGCCTGACCCTCGCCAAGCAGCAGCAGAGCTGCCTGCCTGTGACCACAGCTACATGGCCCATGTGGCTGGCAAAGCCAGCAGTGGCCGGTCTGGTCTCTCATAGAAGAAGGCTGCCTACCCCAGGCCCCAAGGAGCAGCCCCCCTGTCCCCAGCACAGCAGGAATAAGCAGGTGTGTCAGGCATGGGCTCAGGCGGTTTCTGTCCCTGTAGGGCCGCTGAGTGGCAGCTGGATCAGCCGTCATGGAGTGGCCGGCTGCGGATCACAGCCAAGGGGCAGGTGGCCTACATCAAGCTGGAGGACAGGACCTCAGGTAAAGGCTGGGGGGAGGGGCTGAGGCCAGGCCTCTGCCTCATGGAAGGGACAGCTCAGACCTGCACAGGTGGCCTGCAGGCTGGAGCCCTGGCTGGACTCCATTCTGCTGGATAGTGGTAGCGAGCACTGTCACCAGAACACTGGCCAAGGGCTGTTCACTGTGTCGCACGGGAGGTGTGTGGGTCAGACCCAGCAGGAGGCAGGACGCGGGGTGCTGGCCGCAGAGACGAGGGGTAAAGGTGCCCGGCTCCCTTGGTTGAGCACCGTTCGCAGCTTAGTGGTGACTCCCTGAAACTGGCCTTAGCCTTTGAATTAACTGGAACCTCTGCCACTCAGCTCTTTGTGTAGTAAGAGGACAGCTCAGCTGGGCTGCAAAGAGACAGCTGGCAGGTGCAGCTGCTGAGGAATCCTCTGGAAGGCCACCTGTCTGGAGTCATCCCAGCCTGAAGCCATATGAGTGGGGCTAGCCAGGCGTCTTATCACGTTTCTCTTTCCTGTTCTGTAGAGTTGCCCAGTGTGTAGAACAAAGCACAGATGGACAGGTGGGGCTGGCTGACCCTGTGCACGCCGTGGCCTCCGTTCAGTGCAGGCACAGATCCTCACAGGCTGTTGGGGACCCCGAAGGAGCAGATGCCTTTTCCGGTTGCTTTCTGGACTGCAAGGCAGCCCAGAGTGGGCTCTTGCCCTTCTGCTGTCGCTTGAATGTTGGTGACATAGGAGCCTGGAAAGGCAGTGACCATGGCTAGGCCGTTGAATGTTGGCCAGAGAGTTTCTGGGAGGCCCAGCCAGCATCCCAAGAGCGTGGCCATGGTCTTGGGAAACTGCAACCGTGATGTCGCAAATGCTGTTCAGGGCTGGGTCTCCCCTGAGGCCCACCCTAAGGTGCCCAGCTGAGGGTCATGCTCATGCTGCTGTTTCCAGGTGAGAGTGAGCGCACCCCAGCAGGCCAGAGAGCACAGCCTCGGTGCTGCTGGCATGTGGAGCGGGGCGCCCGAGGTGGGTCTTCTCGTGTTTCCTGCAAGGGGGAGGAACAAGACTGCTCCCCATAAGCACCTGAGGAAACTGCATGGGGCAGAGCACTCGACAGAAGCTGTAGGCTCTGGGGCTGTTGATGGTCATTCAGCTGGGCTTGATCCCAGCATGACCTCCAAGTCCCAGAACACAAAGTGTCAGGCTTTAGTCCTTAGAACAGCACGTGCCACGCCAGCGTGGTCGCTAAGTGACCAGAGCTCCATTGAGAGCCCCTCCTGCTGTGGCTCAGAGAGGACCCTGTAGACGGGCTTCTGGTTCTCCCTCCTTTCTCCAGGACTGCCAGCCCTTCCCCGAGTCCTGCCTCCAGTCCTAGGCCTTTCCTGAAGGCGTAACGCCCCAGTCCAGGGCTCAGAGCCTCACTTTAGGCGGGGAGTAGAAGTGTGTGAAGAAAGTGGGACAGGCAGGTAGCAGCTGCCAGGGTGGAGGGCTGGCATTGGTGGGAGGGACGCCAGAAGTCTGGCTCCTTTTGCTTGTGAAGTGATCTGGAGGTGGAATGTGAGCCCAGTGGACTGGATTTGACTTGGAAGCCATCTCTGATGTCAGCCTTCCTCAGTAGTACAGGCAGTTGATGTGGGGTTGGGTCATCGCTTGGGCAGCCTCATCCCACAGCAATTGCTGGTTGGGGCTCAGTTTCCTACTGATGCTGGCCTTGCGAGGCAGCAGGTGACAACAGCCCGAGGACTCCGGGTGCTGCTGTCCGGTAGACGGAAGCCCCTGGCTCTGTCCTGGTCCATCTCTGGCTGTTGTAGGCGTTTGCAAAGTGAACCAGTGGATGAATGGTTTCTCCATTTCTTATCTGTCTCGCTCTCCCATTCAGTGAAAAAACAGAAATAAGTCATCAGAAATAAGTCTTTCCATGCATATATTTCTGTGTCTTCCTTTCAATGATAACAGATTTAGTTTGCATCTGTCTGCTGTGGCGTTTTGTAGGTGCCTGGGGGGATCCAGGCCTGGCTGTGCAGTGGGAGCAGCAGATGGGTGGGCGGGGCTCAGGACTCTGCTGCCTGTGCTTGCAGGGGAGCTCTTTGCTCAGGCACCCGTGGACCAGTTTCCAGGCACCGCCGTGGAGAGTGTGACGGATTCCAGCAGGTACTTCGTGGTCCGCATTGAAGATGGCAATGGTATGTGTGGGGTGGGTGTTGCCCTTCGAGGGTTCTCGGCTAGGACAACGGGGTTGACTGTGGCTCTTCCCCAGGGCGACGGGCATTTATTGGAATTGGCTTTGGGGACCGAGGTGATGCCTTTGACTTCAACGTGGCGTTGCAGGACCATTTCAAGTGAGTGGTTTTGGGGGTGTGTGCTGCTTCCTTCCTCTGCCCAGCAGAACCACATTCTGGGCGAGGAGTCCTGAGAGTTGTGTGTGGTTTGTCTGCTGGCTGCCCCCGCTCTGCCATGAAGGCTGCATCCGCCCCACCCCCAGGTTCTGGCCCTGCCTTCAGGATGTAACATCGCCTCCCTTACCAGGCCCCTGTGTAGGCTCCTGGGGTGTGGACTGAAGGGGTAGAAGGGTGCACCTCTGCCGTTCGTGCGTGGCCCTCCAGTTGTTTTTTGGTATTCTAGTCCTGGTGGCTGCTGGGTGGCACTGCTTGAGGGTCGGGAGGACAACTTTGAACTGCTCCTGTTCCAGGCCTCGTTCTTCTTTGTACGTCATGAGCATTGGAGTATATGTGGGGACCATGTTTTTCTGCTTACTTCAGTTGCGAGCCTGAGTATTGCTGGGGTGTAAAGGGCCTGGCCCTCATATTTCCTGGAGGCCTGGGTCGCCCCCTCTACCTATGTGGTCTCACCCAAATCCCAGAGCAGCTGTTAGGACTGGTGGAATCTTCCATCTTTTGTGCTGGTGAGGAAACAGATCTGAGTGTGAGGCTGTAGGGGTGGGAGCTGAGACCTGACGTCCAGCCTGCCTCTCCTCCTTCAGGCACTCTGCCCATGGCCTTGGCACCAGCCCCTCCTGTACCGTCTGTGGGCAGCATGAGAGGACAGCTGCCCACAGGGCTGGGCTCACTCACCCCTTCTCTTCTCTTCTCTCCCTAGGTGGGTGAAACAACAGTGTGAATTTGCGAAACAGGCCCAGGACCCAGACCAAGGTCCCAAGTTGGACCTGGGCTTCAAGGAGGGTCAGACCATCAAGCTCAGCATTGCTGTGAGTCCCTCCCGCCCTTGGATCTGGCAGCCTTGGTCACATGACTCATGTGGCCGTCTGCCCAGAGGCTGTCACTCTACACGCAGTGGCACTGCAGATGCACAACAGGTGCCTGTGCTGGGTTCACACCAGGGCTGCACAGGATGCCCCTGCTCAAGGAACTCACAGCTAAGCAGGTGGATATGATCACAGCCTGGCCCCAGAGCTGCTTTCCCATGTGCGAAGGACACAGTCTGTACTTGGGATGGCCAAGGAAGCCTTCCAAGAAGAAGCAGCCTGTTAATGTGGGAAATGAGACCAAGTGGTGGTTGGGCAGAGGAAATAGTGGGGAAGGCTGCTGAGTTCAGAAGGAGCTTCAGCCCCATGCAGCCAGAGCTGGTGTTTCTCAGCTGTCAGAGAGAGTGAGCAGGGGTCAGAGTGTGCCTCTGCATCTGGGCCCGATGCCTTGAGCACGAGGGGCTGGGAGGGCTCTAGGTGGCAGGCATCGAGGTGGGCCTGGGCAGCATGGCAGCTTCTTCCCGTGCTGTCGTCCTGGCTCCACGGGTCTTCATTCTGCGCTGTTCTGCATCTGGCATTTCCATTGCATTGCAGAGTGGGCACAGGCCGACTGGGCTTGGTCACCAGGGCTGAACTGGGTCTGGCTGCAGGGCTAGACTGGGGAGATGGAGTTCAAGGCAGGGTGTGTGGGAACCAGGGACTGAGTGCACCGGTTGTTTTTGAAGAGATTTTGTAACTCGAAAATAATGCTTTTCTTCTTTACTTCCCATCTCTTTCTCCTCTTCTCTGCTTCCTGCTGGTGGTGACTTGGGACCCTTGAAGGTGGCCGCCTGGCCCTTGGGAGAAAGCACAGGTCCAGTCCAGTGGCCTGGTTGGGATGTGACTCTTTCTGTTGCTTGGCGGAAACTAACACTTACTGCGCGGCAGCTGTGGGCCAGGTGTGTGTCCAGATGATTCTCACGGACGTGTGCGTGCCCCCTCAAACCGGAGCTTCGAGAAGTTGGGGCACTGGCGAGGGCACAGGAGTTGTTCCGTGACAGGTCTCGGGAGGCCAGGATTGAACCTCATGCTGAAGCTGCTGCTTTCCTCCCAGGTGGCATTGCGTGCCCCGTGCCCCCCGTCTCCCCCGTGCCACTTGCTGGTCCTGCCCTGGTGCTTGGTTTTGTTTTGTGTTAACATTTTGTGGAAGTACAGTCATCATATTTAACAATGCGGAAATCGGAAGCGCAGAATTCAGTGTACCTCAGAAAACTGAACTTGGCATCCTTGAAACTCACACCCACGTCCAGCCGTGGAAGCGTGTCTCCGCTCTGGTGGCCCCTTCCCGTTGCCGCCCAGTGACTGGCAACCCCAAGTAGCTACCACCCACAGGCTTTGGGGGCCCCACACTTTGTGCTTATTAACTTTGATGAATGGAGTCATGCACCTTTTTGTCTCTCACCCAGTGCTGTGGGCCACCCACCTGGTCACTTGGCACTCTTGCTAGAGTGTGTGCCTCTATGAGAAATGCCTTTAGCTTGCTTTGCTCTTTCAGTGATGGCGGGCACTAGGGTGGTTTCCAGTGCGGGGCTGTTGCACTCTGGTGGAGTTGGAGTTCATGTCTTGGGGTGCACGCACGTGTGCGTTGCTTTTGGTCTGTGTCTAGCATGGAGCTGTGAGGTCCCAAGTCCTTTTGTGACGTTTTATAGAATCTTTAAAGGACTTTGCTCCGAGCAGCAGCCGAGCCTTCTGGTTGCTCCGTATCTTGTCGGTGCTTTGCCATTCTGAGGGTATCTGATGGTGACTTGTTGGAGTGTTGCTCTGTATTTCCCTGAGGATAAGTTGATTCGGGGGTATCATTTGTGGTGGATGGTACCAGGTGGCCCACATTTGGGTGTCACAGGGACAGGGCTGCCCTCGCCATTCCTGTGGGACTCTGGCTGAGCTGACTCATGGGTGCCTGTCTCTCCTTTCTACAGAGCATGAAGAAGAAGGAGTCGGCGCCTGGAACTCCCCGGGCCCGTCCCGCTAGCGTGGGAGGCCTGAGCCTGCTGCCCCCCCCACCAGGAGGCAGGACCTCGGTCCTCCTCCCTCCCCCCGGGGAGCAGGTGTCTGGGGGCGGATCCCTTGGTCAGCCAGCCGTTGCTCCTGGATCAGGTCAGTGTGCGGGGTGACCGCAGAATCATCCTCTTGGCAGCTGGGTAGAGATGGGTCACTTCTATCCAGCATGGAGACCAGGTGGGTGGGGCGCACACTCACGGCCTGCCTGATGTAAGATGGCTTCCTTTGCAGAAGCCTTAACCTTGAGCAGAGTTTGAAGGAATAAGCTGGGGGTGGCAGGTGCTGGCATCTCAGACACCAGAGCGCTAACCAGGCTCGGACTCTGGCACTTGCTGGGGCGTGTTCGGGGCTGCCACGGGAGATGCAAGCAGTGGTAGGAGGTGACTGGAGATGTGGCTACAGGCCGAGCTCAGTGAGGTGGTCAGCTGTGGGAGGCGGGAGACCATCTGTGGGCTGTGCTAATGGACTCTGTGGGGACCTTGGGTCCCAAGACACCTTGTCTCGTGCTCTTGACATTGACTCCTTAGCCTGGGTAGTTCTCCATGCAGCTCTCACCAGGTCCAGGTTGTTGGTGGCAGCACCCAGGCCAGAAGCCTTTCTGCTCTTCCACATCTGAGTCCCCGACATTGTCTTCAAACCTTAGTCCTGTGGGGATGCCCCAGCTGGGCCGGGGTGGAAGCAGCCATCAGACACCCCTCTGCCGGGCAGGGGTAGCATCCATGTGAGGCAGGTCCGGGCTCAGGTGGGAGAGACAGATGTAGGAGTCACCCTCCCAGAGTCTCTCCCCCACCATGAGGCTCTCTGCCTCAAGGGCTCTCCTGAGAAGATGCTGGGAACCTGGCAGGACACTGGGGACAGGCTGTCCAGAAGGTCTTCCTCTGCCTGACTGATGACAGAGTCCCATGATTTGGGCACTAAGGTGACCAAAAGAAACCTTTCCGACTGCCGCGTCTCCAACTCTGACCTCTTGTTTGCTCTTCTCCCTATCCGTTGGACTTGGGGACATCAGTAGGAGGTGCCAATGTATCCTGGCCACAGCCCAAGCCTGCCGCTGCCACCACTGCTGACATCTGGGGCGACTTCACTGCATCCACAGGGTGAGGAGGGCCACGCTTTTTGCCAGGGCCATGTCTTTGAGCTCTGAGGTTGCTCCTTGTGCTGTCCCTGGTCCTGGGATGGATGCTCGCAGGGCTGCCGGAGGCAGCTGGGGGTGACCCTGTTCTCTCCAGGAAGACTGTTTGCTGCAGTCTGTTGCTAGGCAACCAGGGCTTCCTTCTGCAAATCTCACTTAGTGCTTTGGCTTCTCCCCAGTGCTCCTCCATCTCCAGTTCCTCCAGCATGCTAGGCTGAGGGTCGAGATCCCCCTCCTTGTAGGACCTCTGAGGCCAAGTGTTGCCTTCTCTGACTCCCTAAGATGCTGCAGTGGCTGGAGCCATCCCAAAGCCAGGGGCCTTGTCTGGGTCTCCCACACATGGGGGTCCAAGGCCTTACGTCATCCTCCACTGCTTTCCCAGACTACAAGCAGGGGTGCTGGATCAGAGGAGGAGCAACCAGGATATGACCCAGTGCCCATGGGGTGCCAGCAACTCATTACCACTCAACCCCACCCTAGTGCCAATACCACTCATCCAATTGAGCCATTACCCCAAACCCAGCCCTTTTTGTGTATGTTTTTTTTTTTTTTAAGATTTATTTTATTTTTATTGGAAAGGCGGATATACAGAGAGGAGAGACAGAGAGGAAGATCTTCCGTCCGATGATTCACTCCCCAAGTGAGCGCAATGGCCGATGCTATGCTGATCCGAAGCCAGGAGACTCTTCCGGGTCTCCCACGCGGGTGCAGGGTCCCAAAGCCTTGGGCCGTCCTCGACTGCTTTCCCAGGCCACAGGCAGGGAGCTGGATGGGAAGCGGGGCCGCTGGGATTAGAACCAGCGCCCATATGGGATCCCAAGCGTGCAAGACGAGGACCTTAACCACTTGCGCCATCGCGCCGGGCCCTCTTTTTTTTTTTTTTTAATAGTTACTTATTTTTACTGGAAAGTCAGATTTACAGAGAGGAGGAGGAGATGGGAAGATCTTCCATCCGCAGGTTCACTCCTCAAGTAGCTGCAATGACCGGTGGTGAGCTAATCCAAAGCCAGAAGTCCAGAGCCTCTTCCACGTCTCCCATGCAGGTGCAGGGTCCTAAGGCTTTGAGCCGTCCTTGACTGCTTTCCCAGGCCACAAGCAGGGAGTTGGAAAGGCGGTGGAGCTGCTGGGATACGAACCGGCACTCAGATGGGGTCCCTGTGCATGCCAGGCAAGGATTTTAGCCACTAGGCTAATGAGCTGGGCCCGTGGGTCATGGGTTCTTGTCCCTATTGCTCCACTAACTATCCAGCTCTCTGCTTGTGGCCTAGGAAAAACAGTGGAAGATACCTGAAGGGCTTGGGCACCTGTCGTCCCTATGCGAAACCTAGAAGCTCCTGACTTCTGGCTTCAGCCCAGCCCTGGCTATTGTAGCCAGGAGAGAGAACTAGTGAATAAACATGCACTCTGACTTTCAAATAAATAAATCTTTAAGACACATATGCATCACCCTGATGTGAGATGCTGGCATTGCAGGCTGTGTACCAGCACCTCCCCCACCTGCTCTGAATGAGCGTGACTGTGTACCAGTCAGTCTTTTTTTTTTTTTTTTAATTAATTACATTGCACTGTGTGACACAGTTCCATAGGTATTGGGATTCCCCCCACCCATTCCCAAGCCCTCCCCCCATGGTGGATTCCTCCACCTTGCTGCATTGCCACCGTTCAAGTTCAGTTGAGATTCTTCCATTGCAAGCATCTACCAAGCATAGAGACCAGTAACTTATTGTCCAGATAAGTTCAGTATCTTCTTAGGGAGACCATCTCTGGTCTGAAGGTAAAGCTGGCACAGTATCATCCCGATCAATCAAAAGCCCCAACATAACATCAGCAACAAATTATAACGTTATGGAATTAGTGAACATATTGAGTAACCAGTATGTTAAAAAAAAATGCAAGTTGTTAATCACCTGTGACTTCCTCATTTGACATTTTGATTTTAGTTTATATACAATCAGGTGTATACACCCCAAAATGGCTATAGATTCTTAAATTAAGGCAAATGTGGTATCTAACCTTTTGGGATTGGCTCATTTCCCTTAGCATTATGGTTCAGTCAGTCTTTATTTACAGAAACACAGGCATGATGCGAAAACTTACAATTAAGTTTATATTAACTACATGAAGCAGGGCCAGAGTTGGTCCCTGGACTGTGGTTTGTTGCCTGCTGCCGGGAACAGTTAAAGTTTGACCTAATGTGCCTGGGTGGGGAAAACAAGCTTTCATCTTTGTATTTCCCACATTTAACACCTGTCACCCTACCCCCACCCTTGTCTCCAATCCCTCCCTTTCTCCCCTGAACAGGTCGACTTCGAGCCAGCTTCAGCCAGGAACAGGCTGGGTCCAGTTCTGAACCAAGCATGGTGCTTCGGCTCCTCTGAGCTCTGGGAAGGAGCTACGTCATCAGGGCCCCAAGAAGGAGGAGGAAAGTGTCCCTGCCAGCCTGTCAGGGGCACTGCTGTTTGTTTCCCCAGCCTGGCACTTGGGACCGTGTGCATGTGGCGGGAGTACCAGCACCTGTCACCTGGATGGGAGTTGAGCACACATCCAGGACACTGGAGATGCGCCAGGATCCCTGTCCCTGTCTGTCCTCTTGCTTGAGAAACTGGAGACCGTGGCCTTTTCCATCCCACTGACCCCTATTAAACCCAAACCCCCAAAGCAGGCATGGGCTGCGTGGACTTGACCACCTTCCTGGGGCTTGCAGCTGTCACCCCCTGGCTGTTGGTCAGGGGTTTGTCCTCCAGGCTGAGCCCCTTCAGTGGGGCCTTCTGGACCGAGGATCCTTCTGCTCTCCAGTGGGCTGTGTGGGTCGCAGCTGGAATAGGCCCCGGCAGTGCTGGAAGGATTAAGCAGCTTTGTAATATTTTCAGTATTTTACCTTCCTAATGTAATGTGCTGATTGGCATTCCTTGCTGTATGGAAGGGGGGACCACTCCTACCCTGTGCTGGCCCGAGCTTCTGGCAGTGGTGTTGGGCTCTTCCCCACCCCCACCCCCCAACTCTGCGTCTGCCAGGGCAGGTGGCAGTGCTGAGTCCAGGCTGCCCTGGAAACCAGATGGACCAGTGAGGGGATGAGGGGATGGAAGGGGAGGCCATTGTCATGGAGTGGGGGGGGGGGTTGCACACGTTGCTGCGGTGCGCTCAACAGCAAGATCTCCCAGCTCAGTCTTTCCCTCAGGTGGTTTCTCAGTGTCTCACCTGCAGGCAGCCTCCTAACCTCTCCTCCCCTAGGGGCTGTGAATAACACCGGAGATTACACCTGACCCGCAGGTCCTGGCTAGCCTGGGCTGCTGCTGTAGAAGGTAGTGGCTTCGCTGAGCGCCCTCCGTAGTCCCACTCCATGCACTTACCTCTGTGAAAGGCTCAAGACTGTGAACTGAAAGCATTGGCCTTTTTGTGGGGCTAAATTTTTAAGACTAAAAAATAAATATTTTGCCTTGACACTGTGTAGGTGGTGAATGGGCTGCAAGCCTTCCAAGGACTGTGGTGTGCTGGTTAAGCTGTCACCTGGTGCTCACCTGCACCCCTTCAGATCCAGCTCTCTGCTGGTGTGCCTGGGAAGGCAGCAGAGAATGGCCACACGGGAGGCCCAGGTGGAGTTCCTGGCTCTGGCCTTGGCCTGGATCAGAACTGGCTGTTATGGCAGCTGGGTGAGCAAACCAGTGAGTGAAAAAAAGACACCACCTAGAATGCTGCAGCTGAACTCCACACCCCTCCCACCACAACTGTGTATCCAGATTTCTGTCAGAATGGCCCCATTACCTTAAGGCTGTGGCAGCTTCTCTCAGACTCCTGCACTGTTGGCATGAAGTTGAAAGGCCGCTTGGGTCCCTTTCAGAGTGGCTGTTTGGGGGTGAACTAACAGATCTGTTTCTTCTTTCTGTAACTCCAAAGGTTCCAGGACCCAGTGTGGTGGCCTAGTGGCTAAGGTCCTCACCTTGAAAGCGTCAGGGTCCCATATGAGCACCAGTTCTAATCCCAGCAGCCCTGCTTCCCATCCAGCTCCCTGCTTGTGGCCTGGGAAAGCAGTCGAGGATGGCCCAAGGCCTTTGGACCCTGCACACGTGTGGGAGGCCTGGAGGAAGTTCCTGGCTCCTGGGTTCAGATCAGCGCAGCTCTGGCTGTTGTGGTCACTTGGGAGTGAATCATTGGACGGAAGATCTTCCTCTCTGTCTTTCCTTTCTGTATATCTGACTTTCCAATATAAACAAATAAATCTTTTTTTTTTTTAAAGATTTATTTTTATTACTTTTATTGGAAAGGCGGATATACAGAGAGGAGAGACAGAGAGGAAGATCTTCCGTCCGATGATTCACTCCCTAAGTGAGCGCAATGGCCGATCCTATGCCGGTCCAAAGCCAGGAGCCTCTTCCGGGTCTCCCATGTGGGTGCAGGGTCCCAAAGCTTTGGGCCGTCCTGGACTGCTTTCCCAGGCCACAGGCAGGGAGCTGGAAGCGGGGCTGCCGGGACCAGAACCGGCGCCCATATGGGATCCCAGGCGTGCAAGGCGAGGACCTTTAACCACTTGCGCCATCGCGCCGGGCCCTAAATAAATAAATCTTTAAAAAACAAAAAGGTCCATAACGTTTAAAATGTGCTCATAGTGGTCCATTGTATGAATAATATGTTGACTTATTAACTCAGTTTCCTGTGGCTGGACTTTAAGTTTGTTGTTGAAGTCAGACATTCTAGAAAGATTTTCATGTTGGTCTTCAGAGAGCCAACAAATCCATTTATCCAGAACACCCGTCTGCTAAGCCTCCTGGTTAATGTGGTTTTGCCGACAGTGGGCAGAGTCCAAGCCCAGCTGCCGGGCTCAGCAGACACTTGGCATCAGCAAGCTGGCACAGGTAACTCCAGGTACCTGCTTTCCTCCATCCTAAAGACTGAACCCTCAGCGAGCAGGTGAGCACCTGGCACTGCTTGCCCGTGGTAGTGGGAACCAGTGGGCTGTACAGGATGGGGTACCCTTTGTGCAGCAGTGTGAGGGAATCCAATGAGCAGAGCCAAGGCTGAGTGGAGTGGGATTGGCCTGGGGGCAGCACAGTAGGGGAGCCAGCCTCAGCAGAGGGACTTCTGAAGCCGAGGGACTTCTGAAGAGAGCAGGTGTCAGTACTCACTGCCCTGCAACAAGGAGGTGTGTGTCCCCCAAAATCTTAGGCAGCACGATGGGATAGAATGGTCTGGGAAGAGAGGTGCTCAACTTCCTGCTGTGTGTCCTTGGGCAAATGTGCTCTGCACCTCAACCTCCCTTGCTGTAAAACTGGGAGCATTCTGGAACCTTCTTTACAGCTTGGATCCTTTACAGAAATGTTTAGAGGAGACTGTGATCACCAGAAGCTCTAAGTGGAGGCAGCCCAGTGTGCAAAGGTTTGCAGCTAGCATAGGGGTGTCCTGGGAGATGCAGGCACCTGTCACCCAGGGAGACCGGGCTGAGAGGAACAAGCAAGGTCCTGTGGGGAAGGGCAGGGTAGGCTGGGCTGGCGGTGCTGGGAGGGGGACTGGGAAGTATGCCATGTGGTCAGGTAGGACCAAACAGGCCTGCTGAGCCTGTGGGATGACCAGTAGGGCTGGGGACCCCAGACAGGATGACACAGACCCTTGCCATGCTGGGGCCTGCTGCATTCCAGCAGCCAGCCCAGGCACACCTCAGGACAACTGCCCTTCCCCCAACCTCCACCACTGCACTCCAGGGTGGCCTCAACCTTGACCTGGACCTCAGCCCCCTCTGCAGGTGTTAGAGCTTGATGGGTCCATAACCGCCCACCAGTGCCAGACCAGTGGACTGCCCCTTGTCCCCATTCCTTCCCCCAGCAGGGAAACAGACCTAGGCTAGACACAGCTGCAGGCTTTTCCAAATACAAAGCCATGGAGGTAAACAGACTTGTAAACAAGCACCCCCACCTAGGCCACAGCCCAGGCGATTCCAGCTGGCTTGCCTGTCCCTTTGAAAATGATCTGACCCAGCTTCCACGACGGTGGCAGGTCAGGCCGCTGAAGGGACGGGACACTGCCTTGGCACTGGGGAACACACCGGGGACTGTGGGAGGGGGTGGCGCACAAAGGGGTACCCCCACGCTACAGGTGAGCAAACGGACCAGGGCCTTCTCGCTCACGGTTCAAGGGGGAGGGAGGGAGGGAGCCTCCGGATGGGGCTCCAGCCGGGGACGAGCGGGAACGGCTCCGTCAGCGTGCCTGCTGAGGTCAGGACGGCCGGGACCACCTGCGCCGGCGAGGCCTAGGACGCCGCGCTTCGCCCCACGCTTGCGGGCGCGTGCAGGGTGGAAAGGGCCCAGGCGAACGCAGGGGAGTCTCGGGCCCACGCACGCGCGCCAAACGCGGGCCCTGCCCCCGCCCCGCGCCGGGAGCGCGCGCGGCCCGGGCCCGCCCCTCCGCGTCGGGAGCGCGCTCGGCGGCGGTGGCGGCGGCGGCGCGCGCAGGTAGGAGGCCGGCCGAGCGCGCGCGTGCGCTGGGAGCGGGAGCGGGGGCGGGGCGCGCGTGGCCGCGGAGCGGGGGTGGCGGTCTCGCGTCAGGGGGCGGGCTGAGGCCGCCGTCACGGTCCTGGGGACGGCTGGGGACGTCCCGGGCGCCCTCGCCGCCTGTGGTCACCGGCCAGCCCCGCGGACGTCCCTGCCCAGATTTGCGCGCGCTGGATCGGGGGCGGGGGCAGCGTGCCGCGAGGTGTGCCCCCGCACCCCTCGGGCCGGTCCCCTGGGCTCCTGGCCCCACCCGGCCAGGCTGCCGCGGGAGAGGCCCTTCCCGCCGGGACCAACTCTCCACACACATCGCTTCCGGCGGCCTCCGCTGAACCAGGCCCCGTCTTCGCCTTTCCTAGTGTGGGATGCTGTCTCCATTGTGCGGATGAGGACACTGAGGCCCCGGGCGGGTCAGGATGGCGAGGCCATAGCAGCTGTGCAGGAATTCGGCCCCACTCCCACCCCGTTGCCTTTTCTCATCGTGGGGTCCTAGAACCCTGGACCAGTGGGCGGCTCTCCAGTGCTGGTTTTGAGCGAATTCTTTAGTGATTCCTTAGTAATTGTTGTGCGTAACCAAGGACGAGGACCATGCCCTAGGCGATGACCACTGGGGACCTCCAATCCGGGGACTTCAATGCCAGGCATTGCAGGAAGAGCTGTCCGCTGCCATCTGTCCATTTCCCGTTGAGATTTCCTGTTCCAAACACTGTTAAGTCCCAGATGATGTTTAATAAGTAAATCCTGGGGCCAAGGCCAGGTGACTCCATCAGGAGTTGAGCTTTTCCCACCTGCCCCTGCCCTTCCCCTTGGAGAACAGCCCTGCTCCCTCACCACCAAGGAGCCTGTTTGAGGCTTTCATCCTGAACCCCTGGGAGCTGACAGGGTGCTGGGTGGCACTGTCCAAAGCCAAGTGTGCCCCAAGGGACACCTGCTAATGACAAGGGGAATTGCTTTATTTCTTTCTTATTTTTCCCCCATTCTGTTTCTTACACTGTTGAATATCCCTTATCCTTACGCTTGGGACCAGGAGTATGGGGATGTTTGTAGATTTTGGAGTAGTCACAGAGGCATCATGAAATAACCTGAGTGCTGCCCAAGTCTAAGCCCAAATCCATTTTTGCTTCGCACACTCTTCATCTGCATACCTGAAGGCCGTCTGACGCAGCGTTTTGTGCGGTCGTGCAACTAACCATCATGCGCAAGTCAGGTGTGGAAGTTTCCACGGCTCAGAAAGCTTGCGTTTTGAAGCATTTTTGGTTGCAGGTTTGTTTGCTTAAAAGCTTTATTAATTGTCTACCAGTTATTCTTCCCAAAGATTGTGATTAACAGGGCCGAGCCAGGCCAAAGCCAGGAACTTTTAAAAGAGATACTTGACATTTAGTGTTTGAATCAAGTCGTCATCTTCTTTTCATTTATTTATTTTTTTAAGAAGTAGGCCATGCGGTCAGGTAGGACCAGAACAGGCCTGCTGAGCCTGTGGGATGACCAGTAGGGCTGGGGACCCCAGACAGGATGACACAGACCCTTGCCATGCTGGGGCCTGCTGCATTCCAGCAGCCAGGCCAGCCACACCTCAGGACAACTGCCCTTCCCCCAACCTCCACCACTGCACTCCAGGGTGGCCTCAACCTTGACCTGGACCTCAGCCCCCTCTGCAGGTGTTAGAGCCCACCAGTGCCAGACCAGTGGACTGCCCCTTGTCCCCATTCCTTCCCCCAGCAGGGAAACAGACCCAGGCTAGACACAGCTGCAGGCCTTTCCAAATACAAAGCCATGGAGGTAAACAGACTTGTAAACAAGCACCCCCACCTAGGCCACAGCCCAGGCGATTCCAGCCGGCTTGCCTGTCCCTTTGGAAATGACCTGACCCAGCTTCCTGCTGATGCACACCCTGGAGGCAGCAGGGGAGCGCGTAGGTCCTTACATCGTTGCCATCCACAAGGGAGACCCTTTTAAATTCCAGGCTCCTTGCTTTGGCTGGCCCAGGCCGGGCTGCGGCAGCACTGGGGAGTGAGCCAGAGGATGAGAGCTCTCTGTGTCTATGTCTATCTCCCTGACTTTCAAATAAGTTAAAATAAAAGATAATAATAAGTGAAACAAAAGCAACAGAGCTCTTGGGAGCTAAGCAGGCCTAGGTCTTGGCTGCAGTTCCAGGTCTTTGTGGGTGTGTTTGAACAGATGGTTGAATGTTGCTGGGGCTCAGTGGAATCCCTGCAAAGTGGGGAAGATGACTCCCAGCTCCTGGGGCTGTGGGGACAATACAGGTGGCAGGTTCAGGGCCCTGGGCCTAGCTCACAGTGGCTGCAAGATTTTTTTTAAAAGAGGTACTTCACATTCTGTGTTTTGAACCAAGTCATCATCTTTTTATTTTTTTTTTTTAGATTTATTTTTATTGTAAAGGCAGACTTTACAGAGAGAAGAGGAGATAAAGATCTTCCATCTGTTGGTTCACTTCCCAAATGGCTGCAATGGTCAGAGTTGAGCTGATCTGAGGCCAGGAGCCAGCAGCCTCTTCAGGGTCTCCCACACGGGTGCAGAGTCCCAAGAATTTGGGTCATCCTCTACTGCCTTTCCAGGCCACAATCAGGAGCTGGATGGGAAGTGGAGGAGTCAGGACACAAACCAGCTCCTACATGGACTGCTGGCATTTCAGCAGGCACAAGACTAGTCAGTTGAGCCATCGTACCTGCCCCATTGCAAGATTTCTGTTACTTTCTGGTTAGCTATAGAGAATAAAGAAGGGTCATTGAGTCACAGCAGCTGGTGTGTCTGACTGTGGCAGGTGGTTGTTGGCCACTTCCTATAGTGATGCATAGCAAAAAGCAGCCTGGCAGGGTGGGCAAGCGCAGAACAGAGCACAGGAGGGGACAGGTGCAGCACGTGTGGTCTGTGTAGTTACTCATCTTGTGGCAGCTGAGTCAGAGCCAGGCATGAGGTCCTGGGGGAAGTCTGTGAGAGTCTTACTGGTGACGGCACAGCAGGGATGGCCAGTGTGCGTCTCAGTGTGGGCAGCTGTAAGGGCAGCACTAGCCAGTGGTTCCACCCAGAGGCAACAGAGGTTGAGCACATTAGTGGTCCCTTCTCATCATGCCTGCTGCTGGGTGATTGGCAAGTGTTTTTCCACGTGGGGTTCTACAGACCCAGATGTCTTCCATCTGTGGCTCCCTGGGACCTTGGGGATTCCGTAGGAGCTTCTCTGTGGGTTGGGTCAGCAGTGGCACTCACCCTTGCTGTCTTATTTCTGCTGGTCTGAACTGGATCACATGGCTGTAGCAGGCTGCAAGGGAGTCTGGGAAAGACCTCTGCCCACACATGCTGGTGGACTCAGGGAGCTTTCACGGTGCACACATGGCAGTTACTACCACACTGGGTCCAGGCAGCCAGCTAAGCACGGGGTATCTTATCTGATTCTTAGGAGGGAAGAGGCGGTTGCCATTGCTATCTCATTTTACAAATGAGGACACTGGGGCTCAGAGAAGTGAGGAAGCACAGCCAAGATGGGAGTCTAAGCAGGCAGGTGCATGCTAGGAACTCAGCAGGTGCCGGTGAGGAGCTTGGCTACTTCTTCTGCAGTGGGCTGCTAGAGCAGCCTACATCCTCCTCGCAGGGTTGGCTGTGATTTCTTGGGATCCACAGTCTATAGCAGGAACCCAGCTGGAGTTGGAGCCAGGGCTATTGTCACCTGGGGCTCGGGGTCTAATATCCTGTTTTCTTCCCTTGTGGTATGAAGTACTAGTTGGGAGAGAGACACAGAAACCCAGCTCATGTCACCAGGCATATCTGAGGTCCCTGTCTGCTGAGCTGGGCACGTGATGGGGGACATCCAGGCCTCCCCCGGCAGCAGCAGCCTGCAGAGGCTTGGGCAGGCTGTCTGCAGGGGATTGTCGCTGGGTTTTGTGAGTACTCTCTACCCCCTGGCTGGTTTGTTTTGCCTGATCTGGTCTTGCTTTACCATGGGAACCTGGCAGCCCTTACCTTCTGGGCCAGGAGTACTCTGTGTCCTGGGTTTCCATCTATAGGACACGTTTCTTAGCTGGGCCTGCAGAGTGCCACCTGCGCTGGTGTGCATCTGTAGCACTTGTTGCAAGCCGGGTTCTGACCTAGGTGTAATGGTGGAGCTGGGATGCACTGGGCACTCAGTGCGGGGCTCTGGAGCCTGAGTGGAGTGAGCTCAGGCCTACTGTTTCTGGCTGCAACCACCTGGATGAGGTGAGAGCCCCTGGTCTGGGAACGGGTAGAGGTGAAGAAGAAAGGAGACAAGGCGAATGTGTGGCGAGCTTGGCCCCAGCCCTGACAGGCAGGGAGCCCAGGCAGTTGAGGCTAATAGGAGGAAGGGCTCAGGCTCTGTTGCTTACCCAGCCCCTCCGCATCGCCAGGTGGGCTGCTGACACCCTCACACCTTTCCACTCCACAGCCCTCTGCGATCGGTATCCTGCTTCCTGTTTTAGATATGACAGAGCTGAGGTTCAGGAAGCTGACTTGTCCAAGATCAGAGCTGGGTGTCCCATGCCGACCCAGAGCTGCAGTCCTCACCGCAGACCTGCTGTGGGGTGCAAGAGAGATCACGCCGAACAAGCCTAGGAGTCTTTATTAACTAAGCTTGGTGATAGCAGTGCCTACTAGAAATTAGCAATTGAAGTCACCATGGCAATCTAGTCTGAATTGAAACTCTGAGTGGAACACATGGTCATTACCGTGAAACCCGTCTGAAGTCCTATGTCCCGGCATCCCCAGCAATATAAATTATCCTAAGACACATGTAACAAACAATCTGCACACACTTACAAAGCTGCAAACATTCACCATTTCCTGGCTTCTCTGCCCACATTCCACTACCGCTAGGCCTCCCCTCTCCTGGAACTCTCAAGGGTACACACATTAGAAATACAAAACATCTTAGCAGTCACATCTTCACTGACTGCTCCGAGCAGTGAACAGAGGGTGAGGAATACAGACACGCAGGGGCCATGCTGAGGGACTCCCTGTCCTCGGAGTCTGTCCACGGGTAGCCGGAGAGCAAGCGGGTCCTGGGGAGCCAAGAGTCGGAGTGCAAGAGCAAAGGAAGCACGTGACCAACAGAGCGAGCCCCTCGGTGTCATGGGTGTTTATGGGGGCTTGTGAGGGGAGTGGTTACACACACAATGCCGCCCCCTCTCAGGTTCCAGGTGGTGATAGGTGAGCATCACAGGTGCGCAGGAGGGAACACCTAGGTGGGGAGGAGTGGCTTTCAAATTCCTGACCCCAAGCTAGCTGCCTAAGACCACAACAGGCCGCCCCTGGGCCATGGGGAGTGGTGCAGTTCAGAGGTTCAGATGAATGAATGTTCCCGAAGAAATATCTCGCTGGGGAACCTGGCACCATGTCTCACACTCATTCAATGTTTTACTGAATTGCAGACAGGCAAGTGTCACTAATGCCCCAATCTTAGCTGGGACGCAGCTGGTGTCACATAACAGGGGGTGGGGAGTGGGAGTAGGGGTGGGAGGCCCAAAGCCCCACAGCCTGCTTTGTCTGCCCTGCTTGTGCTGTGGGGAGCTGTGGTCCAGGGCCCTGCTGACACCACCCTCAGGTTGGAGAGCTCTAGGACCTAGAACCGGGCTGTGGGGAGGGTGGAGAGGGTGTGTGTGTGTGTGTGTGTGTGTGTGTGTTCAAGGGACCACTTCCTTGCTTCCAGGCTCCTCCTCTCCCCCCTCCCCCATCCCTTGTCTCCTCCTCCTCTTCCTCTCCCCCTCTGCTCCCCTTCCCCTCTGTTCCCTCGCTCTGCTCTCCCCTTTCCCTCCACCCTGCTCCTCCCACTGCCTTGGTCACGTGGGGTCACCGCGGGATTTAAGCTTAATCTGCCACTGCTCTGCCCAGCGGCAGGCTCAGCTTGGTCTTGGGGGCCTGCAGAAGGGGCCACAAGGGAGCCCACTGCTTCCTCCTCCTCATGAACCGGGAGCTGGCTGGGTCCCTGGAGGCCCAGGTGGCACTGGAGACAGTTATCCAGGTGGGTTCCAGGGGATTCTGCCCCACTATGTGCTGTAGGGCAGAGAGGCCTGGCAGGCTGGGTAGATGGCGTATTTGTGTGTGTTGGGGGCGGGGTGCACAGGGGCTGTGCTTTGCACCCTGGTAAGACTGTTACCCCTGTGCCCTGCGTGAGGACAAGGTCCCTGCCCTGGAGTTTAGGATTCTTGTGTTCTCAGGTCTAGCTGTGCCTTTACCCACCCAGCTTGGACTGGATCGTAGCGTGGGGCTTTCCCTGCTGTCCCGCGGGCTGCCCATTTATTTCTCAGGATGTGCTTCTCTGGTGCAGGGGTGGGGGCAGTGGGCCATCTCTGAGCCTCAGGCGCAGGCTGTGCGCTAACTCCAAGATGCCTGGATGTCTCCCGAGCATCCCCATCTTGGGGGGCAGAGACTTTCCCCCTCTGTGCCCAGGGATCCTGCTCCCCCTGAAACTCTCTCTTCTCCTGCAGACTTTGGGGAGTGGTCTCCCGGGGCCGGGCCAAGAGAAGGGCCCGAGCACAGGCGACCCTACCCCAGCCTCGCAGGGTGCCAGCCTATCTTCCCGCATCCGCAAGATTGTTGCCCACCACTTGTCCCAGCCTGAGAGCCCAGGTACCCTCCACGTCCCCCATACCTCTTCTCTCGCCCTCTCCTTGCCCCCTGCTGCCCCCCAGCCATCCTAGAGATAACTATACTGGTATCCACTTCTTGCAAACTCACCTGAGGCAGGCACAGTCCTGCAGAGGGGAGACCCATTTTACAGATGACGGAATAGAGTCCCAGATGGGGAGAGACTTGGCCCTCCCTGGCTGCCTGAGGCCCATGGTGCATGTCCAGCTGTCCTTCCAGGGTGGGAGGGGAGCCCCCTGGAGGAGAGCAAATGACCCCCAGCTTTCCTTTCCCTCCTAACTCTTCCTTGTCCTCTGTTTCAACAAACTGACCTCCCCCCCATCTCAGCTTCAGAAATTTCTTGAAGCTTTGGACTTCAAGGAGCTTTAAATGTGTTTCTAGCAGGCTCAGGTGCCTGTCCCACCCATTTTGCAGAGGAGCATAACTGAGGCCCAAGGACTAGTAATTGGGGAAGGACTGTGCAAGAACTCAGCAGCTGTCTCTTGACTTGGCCACCTCTGGGGCTTCTCTGAGCGCAGTTGTCTGCTCTCAGAGGTCTCACCCCAGACCCTACCTTCCACCTTTCTGCCTCAGCTCCCTGTGCAGGCCTGGAACTGCTGCCTCTCTCAGCAGCCCCTCTGCAGGGCCTCACTGGACCTCTTACCACGGCAGGGGCAGTGGGGAGAAGGGCCCACTGGAAACTAGCGGAAGCCAACTGTGTCTCACCTCCCCTTGCCAGCCCCGCCACCAGCCTCAGAGATGGCGTCACTGCTGCCACTGCAGGAAGAGAATCAGCTGTTGCAGCAGGAGCTGTCCCGCGTGGAGGATCTGCTGGCCCAGAGCCGGGCCGAGCGCGACGAGCTTGCTATTAAGTACAACGCAGTCACCGAGAGGGTGGGTGCTGCCGGGGCTTCGGCCGGGACAGGGCTGGGGCAGGGCTGGGGCTCGCCTGCTGCCAGGACCTGCACCCTGGGCAATAGGTGCCTGGGTTCAGAGTGTGGCTCTGTGTGCTTGTGTGGCCTTTGAGATCACTCCACTCTCAGGGCCCGTTTTCTTCTTCTAAGATTTATTATTATTATTTTTTTTTAATTGGAAAGATATACAGAGAAGAGAAGAGACAGAAAGGAAGATCTTTCGTCTGTTGATTCACTCCTTAAGTGGCCACAATGGCCAGAGCTAAGCCGATCCAAAGCCAGAAGCCAGGAGCTTCTGGGTCTCCCACACGGGTGCAGGGTTCCGAGTCTTTGGGCTGTCTTCGACTGCTTTCCCTGACCAGTTGGATGGGAGTTGCATGGGAAATGGGGACTGCTGAGATTAGAACCAGCAACCATATGGGATTCTGACGCGTGCAAGGTGAGGACTTTAGGCTACCACACCAGGCCCAGGGCCTGTTTTCTGTAGGGGACATGTAATGTGGCATTGCCGTGAGCGGTCACCTGATAAAGTGCAGCCTGCCAGCAGGGTTCCATGTTTCCCCTGTATCCCAGCCCTGCGTGGGGTGTGGGACACCGACAGTAAGACCCCCAGAGGCCCTTGTCACCCCTCTGCTCTTTGGGCATCTCTCTGGATTCCCATTTGCCCAGGCTCTGCTGGGGCCCAAGCTGAGGCTGGATGTTGGAGCAGGCTGACCCACTGGTAGTCACAGATCTAACCCATGCTCCTGTGAGCCCTGGGCAGGGAAGGGAGGAGAAGCCAGGCCTGAATCCCAAGCCAGAAGAATTCACATCACCAGGGACCTGTGCTGCAGGCCTGAGGAGGGAGGAGGGTCTGAGCTAGGGGACAGGATGCAGGTGCACAGCCAGTCTGGGGCCTCCAGGCTATGGCAGGTGACTACAGGGAATGGGTAAGTTGGAAGGGACCCAGAGGGCCAGGGACTTGCCTGGGGTCCCTTGTACAGTAGTTAGCAGAGCTGAGGTGAGTCCTAGACCCCTGGGCGGGCCGGCCACACTGAGGCCTACAAACTGGGGCTGGGAAATGGGATGCATCTCTGTGTATGCTTGCCCATGGGCCCGTGTCCTGGTAGCCAGCTGCCTAGACAAGCCCCTAGCTTGTTAGGGCTTGCCGAGGGCCAGGAAGGGGGCCCAAGGCGACCGCTAGTGCTTAGATCAGAACAAAGCCCTGGATTCCACATTGCTGTTGGTGATGTGGCCCTGAGCCAGCCCCCTCCCCAGTGAGAACTCTATTTTGGCCCGTGGTACAGTGCCAGACCTCTGGGGACTGTCCCTGACATGTCAGCTTTGGATGCGCAGTGAAGCTTGCACGGCTCTCTGCCACCTGCGCCCTCCTGACCATTTGGCAGAAGGGAAGAGGAGGTGGGAGGTCCTTCCCTGTAGGGACAGAGCATGGGTGGGGATGGTGGGCTGAGTTAGTCTGGAATGTTCCCTCAAGTGGCTAAGGACGCCCGCAGGGTATGCAGAAGGAACCCGGTGCTGTGAATTGCCAGTCCCAGATGCTTTGAGTGAGACCTCACCTGGAGGTGGGAAGCAGATGAGAATGACCTTGAAGGCCTTTCCTGGGGACTGGGTCTTAGAGGAATCTGGAGAAACTGAGGGCAGGAGAGGAGTCCAGGGTGCTGGAGCGGTCTCTCCTTGCTCCCCCTCAGGGCTGTGCCTGCAGGTGGCAGGCCTACCCCCATGGCTGTAACTGGTGCTTACTGTGGTGAGCTAGGGGCTGCCAGCCTTTCTGGTCCTTTTTTCCTTTTTAAGATTTTTTTTTTATTGGAAAAACAGATTTTACAGAGAGAGAAGGAGAGAGAGATCTTCCATCTGCTGGCTCACTCCCCAAATGGCTGCATAAGCCTGAGCTGGGCCGATCTGAAGCCAGGAGCTTTTTCCTTGTGGTTGAAAGAACCCAAGGACATATGCCATCCTCCACTGCTTTCCCAGGCTGTAAGCAGGGAGAGGGGTGGAAGTGAAGCAGGGGGGACACGAGCCGATGCCCATATGGAATGTTGACACTGCATGGCAGAGGGTTAGCCTGTTGAACTATTGTGCTGGACCCTGTTTTGGTCCTTTAAACCCCACAGCAGCGGGGGTGTTAGCTGCCTGTGTCCCGCACTGGAGGGCCCCGAGTGTGACTGCCCATTTTGGCTCCTGACTCTAGCGTCTGGCTGCTGTGCACCCTGCCATGCAGTGGTGATGCCTCAAGTGGTTGAGTTCCTGCACCAGCTACCGTGTGGGAGCTCCGGACTGCGTTCCCTGTTCTCAGCTTTGGCTTGTCCACTCCTGGCTGTTGCACACATTTGGGGAGTGATCTAGTGAGTGGGTGGGATAGCTCTCTTCACTTTTCTCTCTCTCAAATAAATACAAAATAAAAAAAAAAAAAAATTAAACCCCACAGCTACCCTGGGATGGTGCGTGGTAGCAGGGTCAGAATGCTTGTCTTGTTGATTGCATTTTCTGCAGGGAAACTGAGGCAGGGGTTCCCAGAGGTCACTCCAGGGTCGGAGAGAGAGAGCCCCAGAGTCCTAGTGGAGCTGGAGCAGTTGCAGAGAGAGGCCGCAGGGGGCCAGAGGGAATGACCACGCCCCCTGGCTGATCCTCTGGCCTCCTCCCCCATCTCCATGGCAACCCGGACAGAGTGAACTGAATGCAGTTTCAAGGGGGACTGTTGCTAGGGGAAACCCTAAACTTCTTTTATCCCTGACGTGGTAGCAGCTCCCTTGCCTTTTGAATTGCAAGCAAAATGAGAAGCTGTTTGTGGGGCAGAGCTCCTGGAAGGGGTAAGGCGTGGCTCCACATCACGAAAAGCACATGGCACCTGGGTCACAGGGGGTGCTTGGGCTGTTACCTCACATGGGGGTGCACAGCCACAAAGCACACTGCAGACACGCTGAGCCGCGGAAAGTGTGCACAGTGTAGCATGCCTCCACAGCTGGATGTTATGGACACCACTCCGCAGCTGCCATGGTCCCGAGGGTCCTGAAAACCCGGCTACTGCACCACTGACTTTCCACGATGCGGGCAGCACAGGGCATGCCCTCTGTGCCTGAGGCACAGAGCCATCATCGGTCCCATAGAGACCTACAGTCCTGGACACCCATGGGGGGACACCCTCCCCAGATGCACCCATGTCTGGTTGTGCACACACCTCCCAGCAGTGCACATAGGCAGCCGACAGGTGCTCATGCCCTGACACACATGAACTCAACGCTGGCGCCATATCACATTTCCCACCCCAGGCACCACCTCTTCGTCCTTAGGAAGGCCCGGACACACCTGATGGTCAGCATGTACCAGCACACACGTGGGTCCCACACGGAGATGGATGACAAAACATCCGTGGTACCCAGCAAGGGGAGTTGGTACACACACAGAGGTGGGCACCCTGCCAACTGACCAGGCATCCTTGGTTTGCGTTCCCACTGAGTGGGCAGCCCATGCAGCCTGTGGCAGCCCTTCCCTCTGGGCAGTGGCCCCTGTGCCTCAATGTGTCCTGGTGGTGGGTGGATTGAGAGATGGCTATTATTAGCGCCGTGAGCGGCTCACAGTCCCCTGGGGAGACTGGGTAGGCCTGGACCCTTGTGGATACCCTGCCAGGCTGTGGCAGGCCTGGCTCTGGGCAGGGGGAGCTAGCTGTTATGTGTGCAGCTAGCATTGAAGGTAGGAGGACTGGGGGTCACCCTGTGTTTTGCCCTGGTTCGTGTGCACTTTCATTACCCTGCTCAGCTCACCCTGAACCTGCCTCAGCTCGTATCCCCTCACAGCTGGGCGGGAGACCACAGGGCCATCTGGGACCATCAGGTGCCTCAAAGCGTAATGGAAAGGGCAGGTGTCCTGCCTGGGTGCAGAGGGGCCTGGAGGGAGAGGTGGATGGCATTGGAGGCTTCCTGTAAATAGGGAGAGGAGGGCATATGATGAGTCACTGAGCCCGGCTGGAGGGCATAGCATTGCTAGGTACCTCAACCCATCTGACACCATGCCTGCAGGCATTCCCTCAGTGTCACCCTGCCCACGGTTGGGGCTGCCCGGGTGCACTGCAGGTGTGCATGCCTCCAAGCTCACACTTGCACATGTGTGATTTGGACATAGTCACACATGCGCATGCCCTTGGTTTATGATCTCAACAGGCATTAATTGAGTCAGAGCCGTGCTGCAGCCCGGCACTGTCGTGATTCAGAGCTGCCATGGGGAGCACACTGCCAGGCTCTGCCGAGCTCCCCCTGGTGTGTGGGCGGCGTGGGTGCAGGGAGACCTGGGCATGACTCATCAGAGGCCTCAGCTGGGCTTTCTGGAGGAGAGGTGCAGGCAGGCGCGGTGTGGGCCTACAGGGTTTACCACTGCCCGCGCCTTTGTGATTTGCAGGAGTGCGTGTTGTAAGTCCCCTTGCTTGTGTCTGTGCATGCCCTGTTGCAGCCACGCATACATGCAGCACCCTGGCCTTGCTTCCATGTGCTTGTTTTGTCCCCTACACCCACTGCCTTGCCAGGGTATCAGTAAGGCATTGTGGGCCGGGCAAAACCTGGCACCCCGTGTAGAAAGGCCTGGGTCTGCCTTTCCCGGAAGGCCTGGACCCTCACTCAGGGCCCTTCCCTGCAGCTGGAGCAGTCTGTGCGGCTGGAGTGTGGGGAGCCAGAGACACAGGAGCCCCGGGGGCTGGTACGGCAGAGCGTGGAGCTGCGGAGGCAGCTGCAGGAGGAGCAGGCCTCCTACCGGCGCAAGCTGCAGGCCTACCAGGAAGGCCAGCAGCGGCAGGCCCAGCTGGTGCAGCGGCTGCAGGCCAAGGTCAGGGTCACCCACTCCCTCCTCTGCCCTCCCCGTGTGCTCCGTCTGCCCTGCATCACCCTACCTGCGGCACCCAGAACTAAACCCTGACTGCCCCCCCACCTGTCCCAGATTCTCCAGTACAAAAAGAAGTGTTCAGAGCTGGAGCAGCAGCTGCTGGAGAAATCTACAGAGCTGGAGCAGCAGCGGCTGCAGGTGGATACCAGGGCAGGGGTAGTGGTGGCGGCAGGGACAGGCTCTCTCGCCTCTGCCCGTCCAACCTGATATTCCCCCAACTCCCCAACCAGGACGCAGAGCACCGCCATGACCTGGAGAGTGCTCTCACCCGCCTGGAGGAGGAACAGCAGAGGTGAGGGCACGTCTGGGAGGGCACAGTGGCTCCCCTGGGTGAGCACCTGCCCATCTCCCTCCCCACTGCCCAGGAGCACCAGCCTGGCACAGGTGAACGCCATGCTCCGAGAGCAGCTGGAGCAGGCAGGCTCGGCCAACCGGGCTCTCAGCGAGGACATCCGCAAAGTGACCAGCGACTGGACACGCAGCTGCAAGGAGCTGGAGCAGCGGGAGGCGGCGTGGAGGCGCGAGGAGGAGGTGGGCACAGGAGGGGAAAGAGGGGACAGAGGGGTCGGAGGAGATGGGGGCTGCCGACTCAGTGAGCATTTCAGCAGACATTGTAATCTTTTCTGGCCCTTGTCACCAATCAGGTACACCGGGCCTATGTGTGTTTTCTCTTCCTTGTAGTGACAGCATGTGGCAGCTGCTGCCTTGTCTTTTGAGCACAGGAGAGTGGGTGGGCAGCTGGGACACAAGTGGAGGTGGCTAGTACCCTCTGCCCTTCCTTGCTGCCTCCTGCAGCCAGGAGAGGCATCAAAACCCAGCTTCCCCTGTGCCAAAGGGTGCCTCAGAATGGCCGCTCTGACACAGCCCCTGCATGGGCTCCGGGCTGGCCCATACAGAGCCATCCGCTTCCTGGGTGACGGTGCCTCCTGTCCATCCTGGAACAGTGCCGGCTGGACCCCTGGGCGAGCTCTTACATGTTCCACCTCCCTTCCAGTCCTTCAACGCCTACTTCAGCAGTGAGCACAGCCGCCTGCTCATCCTCTGGAGACAGGTGGTGGGGGTCCGCCGGCTGGTCAGCGAGGTGAAGATGTACACCGAGAGGTGAGGGGCTGCTGTGGGCGGGCCTGGGGGAAGGGTGACAGCTGCCGGGAGGCCAGCCTGCTCTCTAGGTCAAACTTAGCACAACTTGAACTCAACACATACCTGAGGCCAGGCACTGGGCCAGTGGACACTCAATAACAGGAGGCTAGATCAGAAGCACAGAGTAGCTGGGACTCCAACCTGCATCTGGATATGGAGTACAGGGATCACAGGCAGCAGCTCAGTTCGCTGCACCACAATGTCTGGCACAGCTTTTGTCTTTAATTCACTAGAATGGGGCCGACTCAGTGGTAGAGTAGGCTGATCCTCCACCTGTAATGCCGGCATCTTACATAGGAGGCAGTTCAAGTCCTGGCTGCTCTACTTCCAATCCAGCTTCCTGGATTATGTCCTGGAAAGGCAGCGGAGTGTGGTTCAAAGCCTTGGGTTCCTGCACCCATGTGGGAGACCCAACAGAAGCTCCTGGTTCCCTATTTCAGGCAGGCCCAGCTTTTAACAATAATAATAATAATTCATTAGAACATTCACTACTGCTAGCAGGGACCTTGCAATTGCTAGTGGTAACCAGGCAGACCTTTGGGGTCCAGCTTGAGGATGGGAGTGCTAAGGGACAGCAAAGGGGACAGAGGACATGTCCTGCAGGCTTGGGATAGGGGAGGTCACAGCAAAGCTAAAGGCTAGGGGGGGGCAGCAGGAGCCAGGATGGGCAGCAAGCTTTGGGGGCAGAGACAATGCAGCCAGCAGAGCTGGGGGTCTCCAAATGGAGGACACAGCTCAAGTGTTGACTTGATGGGGCGGCCAGTGGGGCAAAGCAAAGAGCCAGGGTCAAGGCCAGGGCTGAGGCAGCAACAGTGATGGCTGGACTAGGCCAAAGCCAATAGCCAGAGGCTTCTGGGTCCCCCATGTGGGTGCTGGGGCCCAAGACCTTGGGCCATCCTCTTCTACTCTCCCAGGCTCCCTAGCAGGGAACTGGATGGGAAGTGGAGCAGTCAGGATATAAACAAGTCCTCCTATGGAGTCCTAAGTGGCAGCTTAAATCGCTGTGCCACAACACTGACCCAATGCCAAGAGCCAGACAATCCTCAGAGGTTGCAAAATGGTGCTGTTCTCCTTCGTCACTGCCTTAGGTACAGAGGATTTCTGGAGCAAAGCCCTTCCCTGAGGTCCCTCCTGACCACTGGGTTCCCTGGGGGATAGGTCCTTGGCGAGAAGGAACAATTTAACCTGTTTGATGGCTTGAAGATGCCTCTCATTTTCATCTGCATTTTAAACATTTGCGTTTTACGTATGTGCAGGATTGACATTACAGGGTTGATAGTTCAGAAGGATGTGCAGGGAGGGTCGGCCTCCCCTCGGGTCCCAGCATTGCCCTGGCCTTCTTGGAGGCAAGCAGCATTAATGGCTTCCTAAGTGACCCTCTAGGAGTATTTCATACAGGCAAGTAAATCAAACTCACACCCTCACACACAGTCACATGCACTCACAGCCTCATATATACACACTCAAGCACACTAGATCCACACACACCCTCACATACACATGCATGCCTTTTTGGTCTCTGGCCAGCTCTGTTTCTGTGGGTTCCACATCGTTGGATTGAACCCACTGTAGATTGAAAGCAGGTGGTGAGCCTGGTGGTAGAGATGCCTGTCCCCCACATCAGCACCTGGGCTGGATCCCTGGCTTGCTCCCGAGCGCAGCTTCCTGCTGACACAGGCCTGGAAGGTGGGGTAGATTCAGGGATTGGGACCTTGCCTGCCACGTGGGAGACCTGGATTATATTTCCAGCTCTTAGCGTCCACCCTGAACCGGCTCAGCCCTGGCTGCTGCAGGCACCTGCAGAGTGGACCAGTGGATGAAACTTTTTCTCAACCTGTCTCAAATACATTAAAGAATACATTGGAGACATGCAGCCAGCCTCTGTCCATATCCCCTCCAGTAACAACTGCTTATGGCAGTTTCCTTGTTAGGTGTTAGAAGTAATCCACAGCTGATTTAATGTACAGTTAGATGACGGTCCTATAGCACTTTATTGGAGGAACTTAGGTACCCGTGGAGTTCGATAGCTATGAGCGGTCCTGGGGCCAGTTCCCTGCAGAGCCCAAGGGACAACTGGGTCAGCTTGTGCTGGGGTTGTTCGTATCCCTGTGGGACACTCCTTTAAAGGGGCAGTTGGTGAGGCAGCTGCCCTCTGTGTCCCTAGCTTTTCCTGCTCTGATCACGTACCTGTGTCCCCTTCCACCTGCTAAGTGACACAGGGCCTGTTGTCCCATAGCCTCATCCCGTAGTGTGTGATGTGACTTCTATTTTTTTCCTCCTCAATCTGAAGTGACAAATGGCCTCTCAGTACACTTGGAGTTAGCACTTGGGAGCCACCCTCCATCCCATCCCCTTCTGTGCCCTCTCCCCCCAGGGACCTGCTGCAGCTGGGAGGGGAGCTGGCTCGGACGTCCCGGGCCATCCAGGAGGCGGGCCTGGGACTGAGTGCTGGCCTGCGGCTGGCCGAGGGGCGGGTCGAGGCTGCCCTGGAGAAGCAGGCCCTGCTGCAGGCCCAGCTGGAGGCCCAGCTGCGGGAGAAGGTCCTTCGTGAGCAAGACCTGGCCCAGCTGCAGGTGCAGAGCGACCTGGACAAGGCTGACCTCAGTGCCAGGTGGGTGGCCACGGGGACTGCCGAGGCAGGCTTCCCCATGGCGTGAGTGCCCGGAGACTCAGTGGGCGATGGAGAGTGGATCTGTCTCTCAGGAGTGGGATCTCTTCTGTGAGGGCTCAGCCAGGCTGCCCCCAGCACCCTAATTGAGGGTCCGAGGCTTTTTGTCCAGAGCACATCATGAGCAGTTTAACTTCTGCTGCTGGAACTTGTGCCCAAGTCCTCCTGCCTCCTGGACCAGACCCAGAGATGATGCTAGGGGGTGAGCCCATGCCCATTTCACAGAAGAGAAGTCTGAGGCAGGGGAAAGTGACTTACCCAAAGTCACACAGCTACACAGGTGGCTCCTGGCTCCCTCCCACCGTCCTCCCCAACCCCAGGTCTAGGGAAGCCTGACCCAGGGGCTGGGGTAGGTTCCCTATCCTGTGTTGGTTCCCTCATCTGCAGAGCAGCAGAGCTGGCCCAGGCAGTGGAGCAGCTCCGGAGCCAGGGTCTGGAGAAGGATCAGGCCAACAAGGCCCTTGCCGAGAAACTGGAGGCTTTGGTGAGATGCAGAGCCCCGAGATGGGGCCAGGTGGGGCAGGGCTGGGGCCAGGACTGGCACATCCGTGGACACAAGCTTAGGCCTGTGTGGCTGGGATGGGACATGACTCCCCAGCATGGTCTGTCCCCAAAGGCAGGGAGGCTGCGGGGGTAGAGGCGCTGGGCAGAAGAGAAAGGCTCAGGTGTGGGCAGAGCACCTTGCCAGCCTTCCTGAGCCTCCCTAACGTCTCCCAGGAATCCCTGCGGCTACAGGAGCAGGTGGCGGAGGCAGAAGACGGAGAGGGGCTGCAGCAGACCTTGCGGGATCTGGCCCAGGTGCTGGTGGGAACGATGACGGGCAGGAGAGGGGTGAGCTGGGAACCTCAGGCAGGCCTGGCTGCCCACGCTCTGGTGGCCTTGGGCTGAATGGTGAGGAGTGGGCCAGGAGACCCCATGCTGCTGTTGCACAGCCCTGCTAGCTTGGTGGCCTCTGCTCGGGGGGACCCCATTCTGCAAGGGGAGGCTCAGCGCTGCCTGGCTGCATATGTGAGAAGTCCAGCAGGACGAGGTCATACCAATGAATGGGAGGCCTGTATGGCAGGTTGAGGGCCCTGCCTTGGTGGAGGTGAAATCGGGAAGGCTTTTGTGGGAACATTATTAGGAGGAAGCCTCGCTGGCCCAGCTAACTCGGGTTGTTCCTGCTGCTCTTCGACTTCACCACCAGGCGGTCCTGTCAGATACAGAGAGTGGCGTCCAGCTAAGCGGCTCCGAACGCACTGCGGACGCTTCAGATGGCAGCCTGCGGGGCCTCTCGGGTCCGCGGACCCCGTCCCCACCACGGCGCTGCTCGCCCGGCCGCGGCCGTTCCCCGCGTCGTGGCCCGTCCCCGGCCTGCTCCGACTCCTCCACGCTCACCCTGATCCACTCTGCCCTGCACAAGCGTCAGCTACAGGTCCAGGTGGGACTGGGCTGGGGTAAGTGGGCGGGCACTGCCAGGGATATGGGGGCGGGGACATAGCCATGGGGGCGGGGTCAAAGTTTGGTCTTGGGGGTGTGGTCTTAGTCCTGGAGAGGACTGAGGCCTTGGGGGTGGAACCACAGTTTTGAGGCGGGGCCATAATCCTGGGGCAGAACCATATGCATTGGGCGGGACTATAGATCTGGGGGCGGGGCCCAAGCTCCCTGTAGGAGGAGCCTGAGCTTCCCGAGCCCCAGGCCACAGGGTGGAGCCCTGAGAAGCCTCAGAGCAGAGCAGGGCGGGATCTAAGTCAGAGTGGGCGGGGCATGGGCAGCTGTGGGCGGGACCAGAGATGGGTGGAGTCCGAGGGTGGGACCAGGATGTAGTGGGGCGGAGCCTGGGAGGAGGGTTGGTGAAGTTGAGAGGTGCTGGGGTCTGTAGGGGTTCCCGAGGGTTCCCCAGGGAAGTGTCCCTGCCAGGGAGGTGAAGGACATGCGGGAAGCTGAGGGGTCCGCAGAGGGTCGCAGGATCCCCGCGCTCAGAGACCCCATGCCTCAGGACATGCGTGGGCGCTATGAGGCGAGCCAGGAGCTCCTGGGCACCCTGAGGAAGCAGCTGAGCGAGGGCGAGGACGAGCGGCGTGCCCTGGAGGAGCAGCTGCGGCAGCTGCGGGACCAGGCCGCGGGGGCCGCCCAGGCCCGGGAGGACGCGCAGCGCGAGGTGCAGCGGCTGCGGAGCGCCAACGACCTCCTGAGCAGGTGCCGGGCTGGTGCTCCCCAGGGACCATTCGCGTTTCTGTACGTGGCCGTGGAACACGCCTGTCACCTCAGAGAGTTCTGGGGACAGGATTCCAATACACCAGGTTTCTCAGAGATTTGCATGTAGGAGTTTTTTAGTTGCCTGAAAGGTCTCAGATAGAGGGGGATAGAAGAGGCCTTCCAACGGCTGGCTCATGCCTCAGGTGGCTACTGCAGCGGGGGCTGGGCCAAGCTGACGCCAGGAACCAGGCAGTCCACCTTGGTGGGGTGCCCTGTAGGTGGCAGGGCCCCAAGCACTTGGGCTGTTGTCTCCTGCTGCCTCCCCAGGTGCCTTAGCAAGGAGCTGGATGGGAAGCCTAACACCCAGGATTGAATCTGCGTCGTATGGGACAGCGGTGTTGAAAGTGTTGGCCTAGCCTCCTATGCCACACACCAACCCCTTGGAGATTTTTTTTTTTTAATCTGAATCCAGGTTTCCCACCTGGGGAGCAGGAGCCCATGCTTCTGGGCCATCATCCCTGCCTTCCAGAAGCCACAGTCAGGAGTGAGAGCCATGTGGGCTTAAGTATCTCCCTAAGGCCAAACACCTACCCCGCTTGGAGATTGTCCCCCGTTTTGAACATTTGGGGGTGGTCAGAGAAGGTTTCCTAGAGGCACACACCTTTGAGGACAGGGTGTTGCGCAGTTCCTGGCTTCCCAGCAGCCACTTGTCCCGCAGGGAGAAGGAGAGCCTGGCCCACAGCCTGCAGGTGGCCCAGCAGCGGGCCCAGGAGCTTGGGCAGGAGATGGAGAAGCTGCAGGCCGCCCAGGCTGAGCTGCAGCGCCAGCGGGCCCGGCTGGAAGAGGAGCAGGATGACACGGTGCAGGAGGTGGCCCGGGCTCGCCGGGAGCTGGAGCGCAGGTGAGCAGCCTGCCCCTGCCCCAAGGGACCCTGCACACACACCCCTCTGCCTGGTGCTGGGTCTCTGCACCAGCCCCCACAGGGAGGCGGTGTCACCCAGGAGTAAAGAACTGATAGGAGGAGGCAGTGTGTGCTGATCGTAGCACTAAGGAAGAGGAAAAAGATGATAATGGTGATTTTTAAGTTTAAAATGATAGGAGTTGTCTATAGTTTGCAGTTTTCATATTGATGCTCAGTGCCAGGCCCACGGACTCTCACTTAACCGTCATGCTAACTATGATGGAGAAGGTGCTGTGGGGAAACTGAGGCACAGAGAGGCCATATGACTTGCTCCAGGTCACAGGGCTACTTAGTTGAAGGAGTAACTGTGTTGTGTAGTGATGATGTCTCCTGCATGATGAGGGTGGATATCCTTGTGTGTGAAGGCCCTTTGGGGGGACCTGTCAGGCAAGAACCGCATATATTATCCTGATAACAGCTTCATAAGGCAGGCAGATGTGAAGACTGAAGCCCAGAAGCGTCCTTGCGGGTTACTCCCTGGTCCCCCTCACCCCCACCCACCCACCCCCCGTCGCCAGGCCCCTGCCTCAGGCTTGGCCCCTGGCTCAGCCTCCTATTGGGTGCTGACAGGGCTCCCACCCACCCTCGTGTCCCGCAGCCACCGGCAGCTGGAGCAGCTGGAAGTGAAGCGCTCAGGGCTGGCGAAGGAGTTGGTGGAGGTGCGGGAGGCGCTGAGCGGTGCCACGCTGCAGCGGGACATGCTACAGGCCGAGAAGGCCGAGGTGGCCCAGGCGCTGACCAAGGTGCGTCCCTGTTTGCTATGTGGCCGTGAACTTGCCTCTCTCCCTGGGCCCCTGGCCATGGACTGATCCTGTTTCAAGCTGACCTTTGCCCCGCAGAGGTCACAGTTCGACCTCTGACCCAAGTTTCTAACTTTGCTTAATAGCCATGTCCCTGGTTTTCCAGATGGTTCTGAGGGTAGTGCCTGTAGCTCAGGCTCATCCAGTCCCACTCTGGACCCAGGTCCTGGGTCGATGAGAGTCCTGGGTGGGTACCCGCCCTTGTCCTGCTGGCCTGGGCCCTGGGCAGTACAGCAGAAATGGAGGTTCTCCTGGCATAGCCGTGCGGTGTGGCTTCTCGCACACACCTGCTCCTGCCCGTGGTTTTGTGTGTCTCCCGTGGGGTCTCACCATGGGCCCACATCTCCGAGTCTTGTGTCTCCTCATCTCCTTTCCTCCTGTCTCCCTGGCTGGCCGCCCTGCAGGCTGAGGCTGGCCGAGTGGAGCTGGAGCTCACCATGACCAAGCTGAGGGCAGAGGAGGCCTCACTGCGCGACTCCTTGTCCAAGCTGAGTGCCCTCAATGAGAGCCTCGCTCAGGACAAGCTGGAGCTGAACCGCCTCGTGGCCCAGGTATGAGCAAGAGCCCACCAGCCTGACCCACCCCCCACCAAACACCCTGCACCTGTCTGTCCTAGACTCCGCCTCTCTCCTGATGCCATCTCGCCGCACCCTTCGCCTCCCTCCCCTGGGTCCTCCTGTCTCCTGGCCTGGCTGTGACGGGTGGAGGAGGAAGCCCACCTGGCCTTGGGTCACAGGCTCACTCCTGCTGGATCCCACAGCTGGAAGAAGAGAAGGCAGCCCTGCTGGGCCGGCAGCGGCAGGCAGAGCAGGAGGCCACCCTGGCGTTGGGCGAGCAGGGCCGACTGGAGCAGCTGAGACTGGAGCAGGAGGTGGAGCGGCAGGGCCTGGAGGGCTCCCTGCGGGCTGCAGAGCAGGCACGGGAGGCGCTGGAGCAGCAGCTGCCCACACTGCGCAGGGAGCGTACGCAGCTGCAGGAGCAGCTGGCCCAGGTAGACCGGAAGTCTGGGGCAGGGCAGTGGCATTGGGGCACCTGGCTTCCTCGTCCTGTCCTGGACTAAGTCCTGGCTGTGACATGGGGCTGGGAGTCCTTACCATAGAGGGTTGTATTGAAGAATGTGTGAGAAAACTCATGTGAGCGCTTGGCATGGGCTGGCCTGTCCTGTCATCTGCTTTGAGTGCAGATAAATTACAATGGTAATAGGTAGACCAGAAGCTTTTGGGGGTGTTGCAGTTAGAAGGGATCCTGCTATGGAGTCTATCCATCAGGGTCAGCTTCCCGGAGGGACCTCTGACTACACTGAAGGTTGGTGGCTCCCAAAGAGTAGTGAAGGCCTGCTTGGGTATGGCAGGTGCAGGAACAGGCTTGTGGGAGGGGATGAGCTTGGATTGAACCTGGGCCTCCTGCCTACCAGGGCTGTGTTAGGCACTGACTTGGGTGCTGCCCTGGTGAGTGGCTGGGGGTTCTGGGAGCGATGCTTACATCCCTGCATGGGGGGCACCAGCTCTCCCGGCAGCTGAGTGGACGGGAGCAGGAGCTGGAGCAGGCCCGGCGGGAGTCTCAGCGGCAGGCAGAAGCACTGGAGCGGGCAGCCCGGGAGAAGGAGGCGCTGGCCAGGGAGCGGGCCAGCCTGGCTGTGCAGCTGTCTGCAGCTGAGCGTGAAGGCCGGAGCCTGTCAGAGGAGGCCACCCGCCTACGGTAAGGCTGGGATCGGCAGGGGAAAGGGGACTGTGCCCCCCACCCCAGGGGATCTGCTCAGGGCCACAGTGGCCAGTCATGCCCTGGCCTTGGAGCTGCAGGCAGGGCATTGCTTCAGTTACTTAGGAGCCTGGCTTACCAACACATCCTAGCTGTGGTTTAGCCTTCCCCAGGGAGCATGGGCCAAGCTGGGCAGGTGGGCTGGCACTTGGCCCAAGGCTGGTCATACCCTGAGACCACAGTTTCTTGGGGCCCCTCATCTGCGTCATAGGGCCTCAAGGGGTATGTGTGTACTGCAGCTTGGAGAAGGAAGCACTGGAGAGCAACCTGTTTGATGTGCAGCGGCAGCTGGCCCAACTCGAGGCCCGCCGGGAGCAGTTGGAGTCGGAGGGGCAAGCCCTGCTGCTGGCCAAGGAAACCCTGACTGGTACGAGGGGCTGGGGGCTTGGGGAACTGGGAGGAGCTGGGGGAGTGGGGCAATGCAGGTTCTTGCCTGGACTGCAGTCCTGTAAAGATCTAGGGTTCCACAGTGCTGGGGGGTCTGGTTAACCCAGGTTCCAGTCCTGTGCTGCTGCTCATCTCAGCCAGCCCCTGCCATCCCTGGGCTGCTGGTTCTGGAACTAGCTTAAGCCAGCTGCCAGCGGGAGGTGAGATGAGCACGCAAGGGCCTTGGTGACATCGTGCCTGGCTCTGCACTGGTGGCAGCTGTCTTGCAGGACAATGGAAGGACTTGGAGCTACTCGGCCCCTGTTCCCCCAGCCCTTGAGCCCACAGCTCCCACTTCCCCCTCCCCCGCACATAAACAAAACTCCTGCTTGGGTGCATGTCCACCTGTGTCAGCCAGGACCCAGCCGGGGCCTGCTGGGTTGGGCCACCTCTGTGGGTGCTAATGGCTCACATTCCACTGAGGGCGTCTGTGGCCAGCAGACAACAGAGGACTGCCCCTGTCAGCATGCTTGGTTCCAGTCCCAGCTTCGCTCTGCCTCAGCTTCCTGCTGGTGGGCACCCTGGGAGGCGAGTGATGGCTCAAGTAGGTGGGTCCCTGCTGTCCACTAGGAGATCCAAATGCATTTGAGAGTCCCAAATGCCTTGCTTTACACCAAGTAACAGAAGATCTTTCTCTGCCTCTCAAATAAAATGAAAATACATAATTTAAAAAATTATTTTTAAAAAGATTTATTTGAGTGATGGGGCAGCCAGGGATATGCAGAGAGAGCTTTCCAGTCTGCTAGTTCACTCTGCATATAGCTGCCATGCTCTGAAGCCAAGCGCCTGGAACTCTATCTGGGTCTCCCATGGGGCTGACAGGGGCTCGGGTCTGCTGCCTTGCCCAGTACACTAGCAGGGAGCTGCTTCAGAAGTGGAACAGATGGGTCTCGAACAGGCACTCTGATAAGGAACGCAGGTGTTGGAAGCTGAAGCTTGACCCACTGTGCCACAGCGCGGGCTCCAATAAAAGGAGGTGCTCACCGTAAAGCTGGATAGTTTTAAAAAATGACTGCTGTTCACTGAGCTCCCAGGAGAGATGAGGCTGACCTGGGCGTGTTACCCAGAGGCATGGCTGTGTTATCCGTGGAGTCTTTAGCCTGGCCTGGGGTGCACACGCAGGGGTAGGAGCTGTTACGTTTCTGAAGTCCTTCCCACTCAAGGGGACCTCCTTTCCCAGTCATTTCACTCTTGGAAACCATTCCAGGGAGGCCAAGAGGAGAAGGCTGGAGGGCCCGTGCAGCGGAGGGAAAAAGAGGCCAGGAAAGCACAAGCCACTTCTCCAAGATGGACTGGCCTCTCCTGCTGGGGTTTTGCTCACCTCCCGCCACTCACCTCCCGTCTGAGTCTGCTGGCCCAAGGCAGGGGGCAGTTTGAACCATCCCTGACCTTTCTTCCTTTCCATGGCACAGGGGAGCTGGCGGGCCTACGGCAGCAGATGATAGCTATAGAACAGAAGGTGGCCCTGGACAAGGAGCTCCTGGCCCAGAAGCTGGTACAGGCCGAGCGGGAGGCCCAGGCCTCTCTGCGGGAGCAACAGGTGGCCCACGAAGAGGACCTGCAGCGGCTCCAGCGAGAAAAGGTCTGGGCGGCTGGGTGGGAGAGGGAGGCCCCTCTGTGATGCCAGGCAATGCATCCTCCTTCCTCTGCCTTGGGCTCCATGTCTGTGAAACTCCATTTCTGCCATGGAGGCCTTGGGGCCAGCCAGTCCTCGTTATGCAGGTCCATCCCCAGTGACCCTCATTGTGGAGGGGATGCTGACCTGATGCATAACAGATAAATGCTTTTGTTAAGAAGCACTGTTTGCATGGGCAGGACCCCTGTGGATTTAATAGGCTATGAGACAAGGTACTGAGAGTGGGAGGTTGGATGAACCATATGAAACGGTTAGCATGGTGCCTGGCACTTAGCCAGTCCTCCGCAAATATTCCTGGTGCTGGGATACTGTCCGCTGGGGCACTCGGGACTGTGGCTGCCTGGCTCCGGGGGCACCTTGGCTGTGGGTGGCTATTACCACATCTCTCCAGAAGGAGGCAGTGCAGCACGTGAAGACAGGCCACCTCCTTCTGCTTTGTACACAAAGTGCCAGGGGCTGGTTTTACCCCTCGTGAGCTGTCCTTTGCCAGTGGGCTATACCCATCCACCCACTCCCCAGGGAGCCAAACCTCTGTCCCCTCACCCTCACGCCTCTGACCCTTGGGACCTCCTGAGTTGGCCTCATTCATGTCCCCCAATTCCTGCCTTGTTACCTTGTCTTTCAGGGGGATGTGTGCAGGGGTGGGGGACAGACAACCCTTCTGCCCTGAGGTTCACAGGGGGCCTCCTGGGCCCGGCCTGCTGTGTCACATGTGCCTGGACCCGGTCCCCAGGAGGCGGCATGGCGGGAGCTGGAGACGGAGCGGGCGCAGCTGCAGAGCCAGCTGCAGCGGGAACAGGAGGAACTGCTGGCCCGCCTGGAAGCCGAGAAGGAGGAGCTGAGTGAGGAGATCGTTGCCCTGCAGCAGGAGCGTGATGAAGGCCTGCTCTTGGCCGAGAGTGAGAAGCAGCAGGTGTGTAGGTGCTGTGGGTGCCACCTTCGCTGCTCAATGGCCGGGATCCCTGGAGCAGGCTGCCTCCCTCCCTGGGCCTCAGTTTATTCCACTGGGGAGGGCTGAGCACCGTGCCTGGCCATAAGGGCGTGTGGGGGACAGCAGCTCTGATGGTGATACCAAAACACCATCCCCATTCCCCATCGCTCATCCTACCACAGACTGGGCATGCCATCCTCTAAGCCACCCCCACAATGCCCAGGGGTGTCAGCTGACCGTCTCCAACACAAACTCATTCCAGACCTCCACAGCATAGTGGAGGCCGTGTAGCCTGCATCCATCTCCTGTCCCGTCCCCACCAGCTGGGCCACGCTGGGCAAGTCGGTTGGCCTCTGTGAGGCCCCTGGTCCTATCCATAAAGGGACAGCAAAAGGCTCAGCTTCAGGTTGCTGCGGCCACCAGTTGCCCTGCTGCAGGGCTGCAGTAAAGGGTGAGCGTGCACCTCTACCCAGGACCCACCACGTGCCAGTGGGCACAGTTCTCAGGGAAGGCAGGGAGAAGACCTGCACGTACCCCCAGGACCTGCTGACCTGGAGCCCTCTGTTCCCTGCCCCCTTGCCCAGGCTCTGTCCCTGAAGGAGTCTGAGAAGGCGGCGCTGTCAGAGAAGCTGATGGGTGTGCGCCATAGCCTGGCCGCCATCTCCCTGGACATGGAGCGGCACAAACGAGATGCCCAGAGCCGGCAGGAGCAGGACCGGGTAGGGCAGGCAGGGTGGCTGGTCCCGTCTGTCTGAGTGGGGAAGTCCCTTCCTTCGGGAGCCCCCATATGAGGGAGGTGGCCCGGCTTCACCCTGGGCAGTCCCCTAGTCTGAGGGCGAACAGCGGTCCCTGACATGGAGGGTTCCACAGAGGGGCTGGGCAGGGCTGCGTTTGAAGCCGGAAGTGGGCAGTGGGGAGCAGAGAGGCTGCAGCAGGACCACATCTGAGGGGCCCATGTGTCCCAGAGTACCGTGAATGCGCTGACATCTGAGCTGCATGACCTTCGGGCCCAGCTTGAGGAGGCTGCTGTGGCGAATGCCCAGGAAGTGAAGAGGCTGCAGGAGCAGGCCCGTGAGCTGGGCAAGCAGCATGAGTCCTGCGTACGTGAGGTGAGCTTCCCTGGGCCCTGCTGGCCATACACTCCTGCTGTCCCCTGGAAGTCAGGGGAGGGAGCAGGAGAGCAGCTGACCTCCCCTATATGTGAGGTCAGTGAGCAGTTATGAAGCATGTGGGATTTGGGGGACTTGAGGTGGGGGGAGTGGGGAATCTCCAGGATGCTCCTGACTGATAAGGAATCACTTCTGGTGAGAAGCCTCTGCCCCCAGCTTGCTTTGCCCCAAAGCATAGCTCCAACTGGCACAGATTGGTCAGAGCATTGGGTGCAGGCCCTGCTGGCCCAGCTCCAGGGCTTGCTGAGCCCTGACCTGCTTGCACAGGCTGAGGAGCTCCGCACGCAGCTGCGCCTGCTGGAGGACGCCCGCGACGGGCTGCGGCGAGAGCTGCTAGAGGCTCAGCGCAAGGTGCGTGAGAGCCAGGAAGCCCGTGAGGCCCAGCGCCAGGAGGTGGGCGAGTTGCGGCGCAGCCTGAGCGAGGGGGCTAAGGAGCGTGAGGCCCTGCGGCGCTCCAACGAGGAGCTGCGGGCTGCTGTGCGCAAGGCTGAGGGCGAGCGGATCAGGTGAGTGGCCCGGGATGGGTGGAATACTTAGCCCCATTGTGGAGGGCCTTTCTGGAGCCCTGACCTTGCCCACCACGCCTCATCCCTCAAACCTTGGTGTTGGGCCCATGGTGCTGAGGAAGCGGCCTAGAGAGGCATCTCTGTCCGTTAGCACAGCATTTTATGTGACTGTCTTCCTACAGAGAGGGTCCATGGGACAGCAGTGGGGTTGATCCAGACTCGGCCCCTACCTGCTGTTGTCACCTGTGAAACCAGGCCCCTCCTGCAGTCACTGGTTTACTTCTGCTAGGGCCGAGGACCATGTGCCCAGGTGGCAAAGCAGTGGGCAGAGCCAGTTCAGGATCCTGTAGCACACAGGATCCACAGCATCTGCTTCCCTCTGTCCCCTCCAGTCTGAAGCTTGCCAATGAGGACAAGGAGCAGAAGCTGGCACTCCTAGAGGAGGCACGAGCGGCCGCGGGCCGGGAGGCTGGGGAGCTGCGAGCCGGGCTGCAGGAGGTGGAGCGCTCACGGCTGGAGGCCCGGCGGGAGCTGCAGGAGCTGCGGCGCCAGGTACCCTTCCTATGCCGCCCCACCCTCCTCCTGGACCCAAGTTTCCCGAATGTAGAACCAGGGCTCTGAACTCTAAGTGGGCTTGCTACCACACTTGGTGTGAAGGGTCAGACTTGGAGAAGTCCTTGCAAGATGTACTTACTAGCTTATATAGTTAATGAATTGTTTGAAAGGCTAGAGTGACAGAGTGAGAGATTTTCCATATGTTGGGTTGGTTCCCACATGAGTTTAATAGCTGCGGCTGGGCCAGGCTGAAGCCAGGAGCTGTGGGTGGCAGCAGTCTGCTGCTTCTTGGGCATATCAGCAGGAAGCTGAGTGGGAAGCAAGGGCCTGGACCTGACTCCAGACACTCCACTGAGGGATGCAGGTGCCCCAAGCGGCTGCTGAATCCACTGCCCCTCAGCACACCCTCCGCCCCCCTGTGTACATGCTGAGACTCACTTCTCTGAGTGGAGCGGAGCCAGGTCTCTGGTTCTCAGAGGGGTCCGAGAGCGATCTGGGGCTGATGCGCCTGTTTGTAAATAGCCAGTAGATCAATGTGTCTGGCTTCAGTGGCCACCTGGTACTCGTGGCAGCAACTGCACTCCACTGGACAGTACGTGCAGCAAAGTGCTGCATCTGGACATTGGAATTTGGATTTCACACCATTTTCAAGCATTCAGAATCACTGTCCTTTAGTTTTCAACCAGTTGGAAATGGATGGATCAGGATAGAAGGCCCATCCTTACCACAGTCCCTTGCAGGATCCTGAAGCGGAGGGGCATTTGGCCAGCAGTGTGCTGAGCCTGGGGATGAGATCTCCAAGCCCATCTCCAGAGCAGGCGGTGAGAACTACCCACTGCCCTGGACACTGTGGGCTTAGGTTCTGCTCTGGAAGAGTCAAAGGAAATAGCCTCGTTCAGCTCCCAGGCGCTGTCCTACCCCCACCAGCATCACCCCCACCTGCTGCCTTGGGGAGACAGGCCTAGAACACACGTGGGCCATCCACTTGGCCTGGGATTGCAGACTGGTGGATTGTGTGCCCTTCCACTCACTGAGTATTTTCTCACTTGCTAAATATGGATAACCTTACTGCCTGCCCCACGGAGGGACGTAGGAAGATTAGATGGGTCAGTAGAAGTGAGCTGGACACGGGGCGTGCTTTTCAGCACAGGTGGTCATCACTGGGGCTGATGGTGGGGCTTAGCATGTGAAGCCACCGTGTGCAAGGCTGGCATCCCCTATGGGAGCACCAGTTTGAGTCTCAGCTGCTCTGCTTCTGATCCAGCTTCTTGCTGATGTATCTGGGAAGGCAGTAGAAGATGGCTCATGAGCTGGGACCCTGCTTGGGCCTCTCCCTCCATGTGGGACACCCAGCTGGAGCTCCAGACTCCTGGCTTCAGTCTGGCCTGGCGCCAGCTGTTGTGGCCGTTTGGCAAATGAACCAGCAGACAAATGATCTCTCTTTCTCTCTCTCTGCCTTTTAAATAAATTCGATTTCAAGTTGCTCATCATTGTTGGGGAAAAGGGTGACCCCAGGGACAGGGCTGACTGCTGCCACATCCCCCACTCTCACAGATGAAGGCGCTGGACAGTGAGAACTCCAGGCTTGCCCGGGAGCTGGCAGAGCTGCAGGGTCGCCTGGCGCTGGGGGAACGGGCAGAGAAGGAGAACCGGCGGGAGTCTCTGGGCCTCCGGCAGAAGCTACAGAAGGGTGAGGCCAGCCTGGAGGCAGTGCGGCAGGAGGTAACAGGGCAGGAGGTGGGCAGCCCAGTATGGGTGGGCTCTAGGAAGTAGGGAGCTGAATCCCTCCAGCCCAGGCAGGGAGCTGGTGGGCACTCTGAGGACCCCCACCAAGGACTACTCCCTCAGGAGCTATGGTCCCAGCAACAGTAGACAGTAGTGGGCCTGCTGTGTGCAGATGTGGGTGTAGACAGCACTGGGCCTACTGTGTGCAGGCATGGGTCAGGGGGAGATGGCACTGTAGGTGCAGCCTGGTGATGACCCCAGCAGCCCCCTGAGGCAGGTGCTGTGTATCCTGTTTTACAGGGAGAACCAGACACTGGGATTCACGTGGAGGGGTCTGTCCATGGTCACACACAGCCCAGGGCTGTCTGACTTTGCACTTGACTTTTTCCGGCAGTTTCATTACACCTGCAGTGTAACCCTGACCTTGTCACTTATCTCTTTGTGCCTCTGGGAGAGGGGACCAGCACAGCAGGGCACAGGTGCTGGCATCCAGTGGGGCGCAGCAGAGGAGTGCCCAGTGAGACCGTGACAGGCTGACTGACACTGCGACCCACAGGGTTGTCTTCACCTCTGTGCGCATGCACCCCGGCAGTAAATGCTTTGTGGTGCATGTGCCCACCATGCGCAGGTTACTGACCCATTGTGGGCCAAGAAGCAGTATGGTGGCTGTTAACTTCTATGGCTATCAGGCCCGGCTTGGAATCCCAGCCCTGCAGCTCCCCAGCTGCACGAGCTTGGACAAGTTACCTAACTCTCAGTGCCTCCGCCACAGAGTGGGAGTGAAGATGTTCCTGGAAACAGCTAGTGCCTGGCACTGTACACTGCCAGCTGACCCTTGGAAGGGAGACAAAAATTCCAGCACTTCCCTCCCATGTTCCCAGGATGCTCTTTAACTCCCTACTAGAGAGGGGGCCACTGAAGGGACAGTGGGCGCAGTCTGGGCCTGGAGGTGGGGGCGCCTTTGCTGACTCCACCTCCTGGCTTTGTCTGCCCCTTGCCCCCCTCCCCTCGCCCCCAGCTCCAGGGAACCCAGCGGAAGCTGCAGGAGCAAGAGGGAGAGTTCCGGATCCGGGAGCGAGGCCTACTGAGCTCCCTGGAGGAGGCGCGCACCGCGGAAAAGCAGCAGCTGGAACACGCTCGCAGCCTGGAGCTGAAGCTGGAGGCAGCCCGGGCTGAGGCTGCAGAGCTGGGGCTGCGGCTGAGCGCGGCCGAGGGCCGAGCCCAAGGCCTGGAGGCTGAGCTGGCCCGCATGGAGGCTCAGCGGCGCGCGGCCGAGGCTCAGCTCGGAGCCCTGCGCTCGGCTCTGCGCCGGGGCCTGGGCCTCGGCCGTGGACCAAGCCCTGCCGCACGGCCCATGCCAGTGCCCTGCTCCCCTGCTCGGGAAGCGCCCGCTGGAGGTGAGCACCGCGGGCAGGTGGGGCTGGGAAGTGGGGAACGTCGCCCCTGCGCCCTTGCGTCCCTGCGTCCCTTAAATCCCTCCAAGGAGTGGTCCTCCTCCAGGCCACGCCCTGTCCTGCTCAGCGCTCCTGTCTGGCCTGCTGCTTTTTCAGGCTGGGAACAGGTTCTGAGCTCTGCCTGTTTTGCTGAGTCTCTGGGGCCTGTGCTCTGTCTCCCCCAGTACCCCATCCCAGCCCTGGACACAGCCAGGGTCACACGTGATACCGAGTAGGCACCTACTTTGTGTGAATACATACAGTTCAAGTAATGGGATGGAGAGGTAAGCGAAGCAGACGTGCCTCGTCACATTATTCACAGTAGGCAAGGGGGACCCAAGCCAGAGGCACATCAGCAGAGGAATGGGGTGTGTCCCGCAGGTGGACCACCACACAGCTGTGACAAGGACTGGCAGGGAATGCCAACCGCTATGGGTGTGAGTCCTCGCTTCCTCAGGCCAGGTGATGTAACTCAAGGAGGACCCGCCTTTGCATCATACCTGGAAGAGCAGATTTTAGCAGCAGCAAGGATGGGAGCCATGGAGCCCTACCCGGGGGTCCAGCTTGGCTGTCTGGGGTTGTGTTGCTTTGCTGGAACAGGGTCGTCCCCTCTCGGTGTCTGCGGGGAGTTGGTTCTCAGCCTCCTCCTCAGCAAGACCAAACCCCACCAGGAGCTCACATCCTTGGTGACCTGCCCCTTACCTACTCAGGTTACTGGGAGGGGCTTCGGCTTGTCAGGAAGTGATGACAAGGACAGAAGTCTGCAGTGTACCTGCTGTTTCCCTATGTCTGGGGTTGCTGGGCTCTGCAGACAGAGCCCACAAGTTCCCAGGCTGGCTGTCTCCAGGTGGAGGCGGTAGCCCCACTGTGAGGGTGCCTGCGGGAGCTCCTAGTACAGGCTGCACTCCTGCCTGGCCTATCACCACTCGCTGATACTTCCATGGTTTACAGCTGTACCACACGACTTTGGTCAGCGTGTGGGGCTTGAATATTCCCTCTTTCCAGACACGGTGTGTCACTGCATGACACAGGCTTCAGACCCTCCCCTGTGCAGGTGACTTTATCATAACAGTGTCAGTAACCGTGATTCCCAATGTGGCCATGTTAGGAGGTGTGAGGTAGGGATCTCAGTGTGAGTTTTATTTAAAAGGCAGATTTACAGAGAGAGAAGGAGAGACCAAGATCTTCCATCTGCTGGTTTACTTCCCAGATGGCCACAATGGCCAGAACTGGGTTTGTTCAAAGCCTGGAGCCTGGAGCTTCATCCTGGCCTCTTTGAGTGTATAGGGGCCCAAGGACTTCGGCCATCTTCAGTTGCTTTCCCAGGCATGTTAGTAGGGAGCTGAATTGGAAATGGAGCATCTGGGACTTGACCCAGGGCCCATATGGGATGCTGGCACTACATGTAGAGGCCTGAGCTACTATGCCAGGGCACTAGCCCAGACAGCGACACATTTTATGCTCTATACATTTTTTAAAAAAAAGATTTGTTTATTTTTATTGGAAAGTCAGATATACAGAGAGGAGGAGAGACAGAGAGGAAGATCTTCTGTCTGATGATTCACTCCCCAAGCGGCCGTACTGGCTGGAGCTGAACCAATTCAAAGCCAGGAGCCAGGAGCTTCTTCTGGGTCTACCACACTAGTGCAGAATCCCAAGTCTTTGAGCCGTCCTCAACTGCTTTCCCAGGCCACAAGCAGGGAGCTGGATGGGAAGTGGGGCTGCCAAGATTAGAACCAGTGCCCATATGGGATCCTGACACATTTAAGGCAAGGACTTTAGCCACTATGCTATTGTGCTGGGCCCCCAAGCTCTATGCATTTTGTCCTAAAAGCAAGAGTTTAAAGATAACATGCAAAGGGGGCTGGGCCTATTTGTGGGGGTAGGGCAAGAAGGGCTTCCAGACAGAACCAGGGTTGACGGGAACCCCAGGGTATTCTTCCCTGACTTCTGGGCTGCAGTGGTGACAGTGGCAGTGTGGCCAGCAAGGTGAGGGATGGGGCACGTGCAGGTGGTACCTGTACGCTAGGAGAAGGGGCTGGTGCTCACACTGGGACGGGAGGGGGGAGCAGGATCTCCCTAGGCAGGGGAGAGGTTCCCACGCTTTGGGTGACCATGGCTGAGACGCAGGCTGCGGAGGTTAGGGTCCCATGTGCTGCGGCTCCAATGATTGCCCCCAGGGACCGTCCGTCCTGCTCTTGTCCCCACTCCTTGATGTGTACCTGGTTTTCTTGGCTCAGCCTGAGTGTATCATGAAATGCCTTGAACACATCTTGCCTATGAAGCACATGTGTGTGTTGTGGGGTGACGGGGCTCACCCTCACATGTCAGGGAATCGTGAGTAGGAAGTGAGGCATTTTGGGGCTGACACTTGCCCAGCACCTCACTCATAGGAGATATTCAGTCCAGGAAGTATTGTGGTGGTGGCATGGCCATCCTGGGCCTCAGCCCCCATCAGGAGCTCAGGGACTTTTTCAGGGGCAGGTCCCCATAAAGGCCCAGGACAAGGAATGTTCCAGAATACAGTGATGCAGGGTGGCCTTTCAAGAGCGGGGAGAGGTGAACCTCAAATCTCTGACAGAGAACCTGGCCTTGAACTGAGGGCTGTGGGACCGGCCAAGTCTTGGCATAAGGGTGAGGGCATGCTAACTGTGTGGTGCAAAACAGGCTGGCTGGGGACACTGTGCGAATAGCACAAGTGAGATGCTTCCAGAGCCCATAGCAGCATTGCTGTAGGCCAGGCTGTGGCTTCTGCCACCCTGAGCCCTTCTGTTCTTCTAGGAAGCGAGGAAGGATTCAACAGCCCCAGCCCCCTGGAACGGAGCCCTGGGTCCCAGCCTCCATCCCCGGGACCCGCCACCTCTCCAGCACCTTCAGATCTAGACCCCGAGGCTGTGCGGGGGGCGCTCCGGGAATTCGTGCAGGAGCTGCGGAGTGCCCAGAGGGAGCGGGTGAGCTGGCGTGGGAGTGGCTGGAGCAGATGCCCTGGAGGGGGAAGGGGCTGGAAGGACTGCAGGTGTCAAAGAAGTGGTCTTCCCAACACTGGGGCTGCAGGATGAACTTCGGACCCAGGCTAGTGCCCTGAGCCACCAGCTGGCTGAGATGGAGGCCGAGAGGGACAGTGCAACCTCACGGGCCCAGCAGCTGCAAAAGGCAGTGGCTGAGAGTGAGGAAGGTGAGTGGGACCTGGGGAGGTACTCTGCTCTGGGGACCTTGCTCCATGACCCAACACAGGGCTGTCTCCTCCTGGGACTTCCCTTGTTGGCCTCAAAAGACCTTGACGTGGGTTGGGGGGCAGGCCGGGAATTTCGTGGCCTTGGGGACTGGGCCTGGCTGTGTCTGATGGGGCTGGGTGGTGACTGCAGCCCGGCGCAGTGTGGATGGGCGGCTGAGTGGAGCCCAGGCACAGCTGGCACTGCGGGAGGAGAGCATACGGCGCAGCGAGCGGGAGCGCCGGGCCACGCAGGACCAGGTGGCTGCTCTGGAGCGGAGCCTGCAGGCCACAGAGAACGAGCTGCGGGCGAGCCAGGTGCGTGACGCTGAAGGCTGGGAGCGGGGTCTGGGGGTGCCGGTGCATATCAGGGGGCTTCTGCCTGCCTAAGTCTGCGGTCACCCGTCTGCAGTTCCGCCCCAAGAGCATGGCTGCAACGCAGCAACATTTCCTCTGAGGTTACCAATCTGTAGAAAGATTTATTTATATTTGGAAGAGTTACAGAGAGCAAGGCAGAGAGGGGGTGAGAGAGAGAGAGGGAGAGAATGTTCCCCAAATAGCCTCAGTGGCTGGAATTGTGCCAGGCCGAAGCTGGGAGCCTAGAACTGCCCTGGGTCTCCCCCTTTGGTGGCAGTTGTCCAAGTTCTTGGACCAGCCTCCGCTGCTTTCCCAGGTGTGTTAGCAGGGAGCTGGATCTGAAGTGGAACAGCTAGGACTTCAGCTGGTGCTCCTGTGGGCTGCAGGGGTCACAAGGAGAGGCTTCACGTGCTGTACCACTACACTGGTACTGGCTTTTGAGTCTGATGTACTTGGATTCAAGTTTGGCCCGAGGCCTGTCTGCTGTTTGGCCCTCATTTTTGTCTCCTATAATAGGGTTACCAGTAATGGCTTCACAAAGACAAGGCACATGTGCTTTTAGCACATGGGTGGTGCACAGGGACCTCTCTCTCATGTCTATGCATGCAGTCACATAAGTGCTGTGCTGGGGTTTTGATGTGTGTTTTGAGGGGGACGGTCTGTGTTTACCTCTGTGTGTGTATGTGTCTGGGACACAAAGCCCAGGCCCGGGAGGTGGCAGGGTCCACGCTGCCAGAGCCTTAAGCTTGTAGCCAACAATCTTCTCTATTCTCGGGCCCTCTGTGACTGGCCTCTCCCTCCCCAGGCCCCCGTGTCTGCCTCTCGTGACCACAGACACAGCCCACCCCCTGCCTCTGGCTGGGGGCCGACCTTGAGCTGGGCTGTTGTGTCTGCGGCTTCAGCTCTGGCCTTGGGCCCAGCTACAGGGACTGCTGGAGGAGGCCAGGAACAAAGCTGGGCAGGAGCCAGAATGGGGGCCATGGGCCCAGGCGGGGCAGGAGCGGGGTTAGGCACAGGCTAGGCGTGGGCAAGCAGTCATCACACCCCCAGCCCCAGCCCAGGCCCCAGAGCAGCAGCCTGACCTGAAGAACCCTTTGTCTTCTGTCTTCTCCCCAGCCCCTGGCCTTCATCACTAATCCCCTCCCAGATCCCTGGCACAGCGGGGCCCACCCAGAGCTGCCTGGCTCAGCTCAGCTTGTGCAGGCAGCTCCTGGGCCAACCCTGGGGGCTGAGGCCAGCTGGAAGCAGTGTGGGTTCCCTGAGTCCTCGGGCGGTGGCTTTCCCACCTCCTAACATACAGAGGGGCTGCTGGCTGACTCAGCCTCTGCTGCATGTACCCTGGGAGCCTCCATGCTCTCCTGCTGCGAGCCCATGGGAGGCCAAGTTCCCAGAGCGTCCAGCCTGATCCCCACTTTGACCTTGGGATTCCGAGGGAGGAAGGAGTGCGGATGGGGCAGATGGGACCTGGGCACTGGGGCCTGAGCTTCTGCCCGGCTGCAGGAGAAGGTCAGCAAGCTGAAGGCCAATGAGGGGAAGCTGGAGAGCGACAAGCGGCGCCTCAAGGAGGTGCTGGATGCCTGCGAGAGCCGAACAGTGAAGCTGGAGCTGCAACGGCGCTCCCTCGAGGGGGAGCTGCAACGCAGCCGCCTGGGCCTAAGTGACCGCGAGGCCCAGGCCCAGGTCCTGCAGGACCGGGTGGACTCTCTACAGAGGCAGGTGGGTCCCTTCCCCTCCCTGTTCCCTGCTCAAGCCCAGTGCCATCATTCCCATCTTACAGACAGGCAAATGGAGGCTCTGCCAAATAGATGGCAGGGCCAAAGTTAGAATTCAGACTATGTACACTCAGAGGAGGAGCCGTGCGACAGATCAGAGCGTGGGTTTACGCCTTTCTCTTTTTGGTTTGGCTGTCAGGAAGCTAAGCCCTAACTACAACATTGACTAGCTTGGCTAGCACCGCACAGACACCTGCCAAGGTGACACCGCAGCAGCTCCGTGTCACTCTTGTTCCCTGGCATGGGACAGAGACTAGTGTCTGACGCCCCAGCAGATGGGGCTGTGGGGCCAAGCAGTTAGCCAGCAGTAGGGTAGGGCATAGGAACCATGGGTATCAGTGGCGGAGGCCCAGACAGAGGTGGGAAGGACTTGGCCTAGACACATCCGGTCCAGGAGGCCGATGGGGAGCACAGCCCCTTGACTGCCCGGCTTGCTGTCCTGCCAGGTGGCAGATGGCGAGGTGAAGGCAAGGACCCTGCAGCTGACAGTGGAGCGGCTGAGCGGGGCCTTGGCTAAGCTGGAGGAGAATGAGGGGAGCCTGCATGATAAGGTGCAGGGCCTGACCGAGGCCCTGGCCCAGAGCAACGCCAGCCTTGCCAACTCTCAGGACAAAAACCTACACCTGCAGAAGGCCCTGACTGCTTGTGAACATGACCGCCAGGTGCTGCAGGTACAGGGTTTCTGGGGTCCTTAGGAACAGACTTGGAGGGGGCCTGGTGCAGAGCCAGCCGGTGGGAACCCTGAGGAGCCAATGAGGGTAGGCCTGGAGGAAAGGGTGGGCCCGTGAACATCAGTCAGTGGAAGGGGGCAGTAGGGGTCAAGGCCCACCCAAGAAGACCAGGAGCCTCCAGGTACAGACTAGGGGGACCTAGGAGCAGAATCAGCTGGAGAGAATTAGGGTCCCAGCAGATCCCACCTTAGACAGGCCCAAGGACAAGGTGTGGACTGGACTTGCCGTGTGGTTCCCCATTTAGGTGAGGCAACACCTGCCTTTATGGGCTGTGAACCTGCCCTGGGGTACAGAACAGAGGGGAGACATCTGCCTTAGGGCTCCTAGGGCCCCATCAGTCCCTGTTCCCCAGGAGCGGCTGGATGCTACCCGGCAGGCCTTATCAGAGGTACGGAAGCAGAGCAGCTCCCTGGGCGAACAGGTGCAGACGATGCAGGCTGAGCTGGCGGACCTGGAGCTACAGCGGGCAGAGGCCGAGGGTCAGCTACAGCAGCTGCAGGAGGTGAGGGCCTGGGAGGATGGGTTCCTCCACGCAGGGCACTAGGAGACCCTGGGGCTTGAGGCTAGGGCTGGGACCTTCCTGCCCACTTCAGCTCTGTCACCTGTGTGGCTGTGTGGCTCATTCAGTCCATTACAGAGAGAAACTGAGGCCCCAAGGTGCTCTTTGTTTGACATGGGTTTCTCAGTAGCCTGCTGAATGGGCACAGTGGGCCAGCACCCTTTCTCCAAGCTGCACACCCCAGGGCCCACAGGGGCAAACCACTTGCCTGGGCCCTGTTGCAGGTGCTGCGGCAGCGACAGGAAGGCGAGGCTGCTGCACTGCACTCGGTCCAGAGGCTGCAGGAAGAGCGGCAGCTGCTGCAGGAGCGCCTGGGCAGCCTGCAGCAGGCCCTGGTGCAGCTGGAAGCCGAGAAGCGGGAGGTGGAACGCATGGCCCTGCGGCTCGAGAAGGACCGTGGTGCCCTCAGGAGGACCCTGGACAAGGTGGGCCGCTACCCGGGCCTGCCCCCCCTGGGGACTGCAGCAGTGGCTCTCACCCTGCCTCTGGCCCGCTGTGGCTCAGCTCCTCAGGGGCCTCCTGACCCCCTCCTGCTCTTCCCACCCAGGTGGAACGGGAGAAGCTTCGCAGCCAGGAGGACACAGTGCGGCTGAGCGTGGAGAAGGGCCGCCTGGACCGCACACTCACAGGGGCTGAGCTGGAGCTGGCCGAGGCCCAGACCCACATTCTGCAGCTGGAGGTCTGGTGCTGCCCCATCCAGCCGGCCACCCTCTCACCCTAGCCAGGCCCTCAGCTCCATCCCCAGCCTGGGGGCAAAGCAGTCCCAGACAGCCCCACATCCTACCGTCTGACCCACCCCAAGTTCACTGTTGAGGGCCCACAAGAGGAGGGCTGAGATTTCTTTTGCATTCCCCACATGTGCTGGCTGTGTGCTTGTCACCTGCCAACCCGTCACACTCACGTGCGCATACACACCCACCAGCCTGAGTGGCCACCCCTCCCTGCAGGCCCAGATGGTGGCCCTGGAGCAGAACCCTAGCGTGGCCCAGCAGGAGTCTGAGGAGCAGCAGAGGCGGGAGCTGCAGCAGGAGGTGGAGCGCCTGCGCAGTGCCCAGGTGCAGACTGAGCGTACCCTGGAGGCACGGGAGCGGGCCCACCTCCAGAAGGTGCGGGGGCTGGAGGAGCAGGTAGGCAGGTGTTGCCTCTGGGGGAGGTGGGGCAGGAGAGACTGCAGAGGCAGAGGGCTGGCCATGACCTGAAAACTGAAAAGGGACCAGCGTGGGCCCATGTTGGTGTCAGCCTAGCTGGAGAGGGACCCAGATGATGCCAAGGGATGCGGTGTTTCTGGCCAGGGCTTTGCCCCTTCTCTCCCAGGGCAGTACAGGTGGCCTCAAGCTGTGCCAACAAGCTGGGGTTGCAGAGGAGAGGCGGGACAGCAGCACTGGCTGAGGGCTGGTTCTCACTGGTCAGCTCAGGTCACCAGGCCCTGCCCCTCCCCCCAGCCATGTCCCCTTCCTCTCCCAAATCAGCCTGGGCCCTCGCTGTCCTCATAGCCTCTGTTTCCCAGGTGTCCACGCTGAAGGGACAACTGCAGCAGGGGCTTCGACGGAACTTGGCGTCCTTCTCCCCACCCTCCAGCCCCGCAGAGACGTGAGCTCCTCGGCCCCGGCACCTGGAGCAGGGATGCCAGCTCCAGGCCCAGCAGTGGTTTCCTGGCGCCCGCAAGCACGAGCCACCCTAGGCTGTACAAGGGCCTCCCTGGGCCTGACCACCCAGGCCCCTGGCTCCTGTCTCCCCAGGGTGTCAGCGCCTTAGTTTACAGTGTTGACCAGGAAATCCCCCAGAGTTCCTGTATTTTTCTACCTTTTTATAATGTTACCTGTTCAGACTTAAGGTTTTTGTAATGAGAAGAATCCATTTTCTAGAAGCCGTGTGTACCTGTGAGTCTCTTCTCTACTGGACAGGGTGCCTCCCCTGTGTAGGAGGCCATGGGCAGACAGGGGAGCCCCGGGAAGCAGTATTGGGGGTGGGGAGCACACCCCAGAGTCTTTGGCTAATAGATGGGACTGGTGAGGCTTGGGGCCAGCTTATGGTTGACCCTTTCCAAGGCTTATTGCCCTCCCAACCAGCCCCACCTCTGGATAGACACAGGCAGCCCAGGTAGGTGGGGACAAACCGGGCTGAGGGATTAGCAAGGGCTCTTGTCCCAGCCCTGGGCTAAGCCATCCAGGCTTCACCCTACTGGTCATATGGGCACATGTCCCACCAGCCGGCCAGGAGGAGCAAGGCTCGCCCCAGACCTTGGCGTCCAGCAGCCCCTGTGCCTCCCCCGTGTTGCAGCTCCCAGCTGTGCTCCCCCCCATACCCCTGTGCCTCTGGGTTCGCTGTCCCTGGCTGGGGGCTGGGGGTGTTGTTCACACCAGAGACAGGACTTCGAGGCAGGACTCAGAGCATACATTGGGGTTCAGAAAAGCATCTCCCTGAATCCTATTTGCCTATAACACCCTGTTCCGCCCTGGGCAGGTCAGAGCTGACCTAGGAATGGGAGGCTGGGATGACAGAAGTGAGGTCACCCACTCTCCCCATGAACCCCAGGGGTTCATCCAGTGTTGGAGGTCCCTGACTAGCCCTTACTCCATGCCCTGGATGAAAAGAGGGGCTTCACCTTCTGTAAAAACTTGTCTTTAATTTTGTATAAAACGGAAGTGGCCCATGCCCGGGAGAGGAGTGAGGCACTCCAAGCCATGGTGGCTGGAATGAGTGGCATAGCCACCTTGGGGACTGTCCCTAGTAGGACAGAAAAGGCACTTCTGGGGCCCTCATCTCATGGAGAGGCCAGGGATGCCCCCACCCACTCAGGGGGTGGAGGCTGGGTCAGGGCCAAGGTCAGCAGCTGCGGGAGGGCCCGAGGTGCCCCAGCCACACCCTGGGGCTGCAGAGCCCTCACCAATGAGGGAGTAGGAAGGGGGAGGGGAGAAGCACCAGGTCAGGCAGTGCCCAAGGTCGCGGATGCCCGAGGGGTCCGGAGCTCAGGGTGCCTGCTCCACCCTAACAGCTCCCGCAGCTCCTGGCGCAGGAGAAGGCCACAGACTGGCACAGGCCACTGCTGGCCATCACGCCACATTTGGAGAACTTGTCCCGACAAAGGTCCGCTGTTGGGAGGTAGGGAGTGACAGGAAGGAGCAGGAGTGAGGGGGCTTGGGGAAAGGGGCCCCCTGCCCGGCTGTTGGGGGGAGTTCAGGCCCTGGCCGTGGGTCCCAGCACCTAATTGGGGTGCATGCAAGGCAGGTGTGGGGAGGCCCAAGCCGAGACCCTCCTACCTCGGAGGAGCTCCTCATGGGCACACACCGTACGGACACAGATCTCCTTGTTGACAACGTACACCCGGCGCAGACTGCAAGGGCATGGGGCCGGCCCAGGCTTAACCACAGGCAGGCAAGATTCATGCTCCCAGAACCTGGGCCGCTGGGGCTGCCCTGCCCCCACCCACAGCCCACTGCCCCCAGCTCTGGCAGGCGACTGCCCCGCTGCCTGCCTGTGGCCACCTGCATTTACCTGTAGAAGCAGACTTCATTGAGGCACTGTTTGCAAGGCTTGTGGATGGAGTAGAGACGGGTACAAGGGTACTGCTCCTCCCGGCAGTCTAGGTGACGGGCGGGGTTAAGCTAGGTCAAGCTCAACTTGGCCCAACTGAGAACCCCCCATTCCAGGCCCGTGCCAGATGCCAATACCCACACGTGGCTGGGGTGGCATAAAAGGCAGCACTTAGCCAGCCTGGTGCTTCCTGGCTCCACCCAGGCTCTCTGGCCACCAGAAAGTTCTCCATACACCCCCTGCCTCATTCTCCTACCCTCTTGTCTCCCCCGCCACCAGCTGGAGCCAACTCAGCCAGGCCCACAGTGGGAAAATGGGGGTGACCTCCAGAGCTGCCTGGGGAGGGGTTGGGAGATACCAGCAGAAAGCAGGGACAAGCCTGCTAGCCCCCCAGCACTCCATGTCCCCATCAGCAGCCCATGCTCCCTAAACCTGCAAGTCCACCAGGGACGCCTGTGACTCTACCCCATGTGCTGGGCTGTGCCTTGGTTTCCCCAGCAGTCACAACTCTTACCAAGAGGCCCAGGTTCTGTGGGCTCGGTCTCCCCATTTCCTGGTTCTGTCAGAGAGGGGGCAGGCAAGGGTCATAAAATGAGGTCTGTTCAGGGCATTGCATGGGTCCCCCTTCCCTGAGCTGGGGATGGGCAAGCAGGGACCCAGGACCCACCTGGAGTGGGCACAGGGATGACTTCCTGTTCCACTTGTTGCTGGGACTGGAACTGGAACTGCTCCTCCTCTGAGGGCTGAGGACTTGCCTCTGCAACTGGGGGACAAGAGGGGTCTGTTGGCTCCTTCCTGGCTCAGGCCCCCCACCCTCACCTGGCCCTCACCTCCTGACCCCAGCCCCTTACCCTGATAGTCGTAGTAGTCCGGGCTGTCTGCAGTCAGAGAACAAAGCACAATTGGTGACAGGCCCCAGCTGAAGGGCAGGCTGAGCCAGGACCCAACCCCTGGGCACTGCAAGCATCCAGCCCCACCCGGTCCCTGGCAGAGCCCTGCCCAGCTAGGGATCCAGGCCTGGAAAGCACAGGCAGGGTGAGGGGTCATCTGGGGATAGCGCTTACCGATCTGGTCACCATAGTGAGGGTACTGAACGTGCTCCGGGAATGGCAGCGGGTCTAAGTCATACTGGCCCTGAGCCAGCAGGCCTGCTGAAGGAGTCAAGTGTGAGGGAATGCCCCCAGGAGGGACAAACAAGGTCCCCAAGCTGCTTCCAAGGAGAGGGGTGGTCTCTCACTCCCTGGAGCAGAGGACCCCACTCGTAGGCCCTCAGGTTCATGAGATCCAACATCCTGCCTGCATTAGACAAGCCCTGGCACAGTCTGTCCTAGACCAACCTCCCTGTGCCTGGACTCCTACCTGCCCTCCAAGACCTTAGCACAGGATGTGGGAGGGTGGGCAGGCTTAGACACCAGGCTGGCTTTTTGAACTTCAGGTCTCACCTTGGACTGTAGCTCTGCCCTCAGCCCACCCACCCTGGCACCATGTCTGCCCGATTCTTCCTTTGTCTACACACAGGGTGGGTGAGGTTGTAAGCACTTCATTCTGTCTGGGACCCCAGTTTAGAACTTCCCTGGTCAGTCCAGCCCCCTCAAAAGGTGAGACAACAGAGGGAGCAGCAGGGCCCCAACTCGGTGCAGAACCCAGCTTTCGGACTCTGGGCACCCTCCTGAGAGGGCAAGCCTAGGTTCTGGTGCCTGCCCCCTTCCAGAATCCCCAGACCCCCGCCCACTGCTGTGGAAGGCTGGGTGGGGAAAGGGCCAGGAGATTCTTCTATGCCCTAGGAGGCCTGAGTCAGTGCAGTGTGGTGCAGGCAGGCCGGAGGCCCTAGGAGCTGGAGGTGGGGGGCTGGGAGGTGGGCTTAGGCAGCAGGGCAAGAGAGAAGCTCAGGGTGGACCACCCCTTACCAGGCAGCAAGAGCAGGATGAGGTGGGCAGCTCTCATGGTCAGAGTGGGCAGGCCGGGGGGAATCAGAGGCAGCTGGAAGAAGAGAGGCACAAGGACTGCACCCAGGGCCGGGAGCCCAGGCTTGCAGAGCCTGCCCTGCACCCCTCGCAGAAGTAGCCAGGCCTTGGGGCGCCTGGCAGGGTGCCGGCTCACAGGAGCCAGGCCCTCCAGGCTGGCAGCATGGCTAGCATTTCATAAGATCTGTCTGCTTATTTGACAATAAAAAGTGAGGCAGCGGGGGATCTTTCATCGATTGGGTCACTCCCTGCAACAGTGATGGCTGGGCCAGGCTGAAGCCAGAAGCCAGGAGCTTCTTTGGGTCTCCCACGTGGGTACAGGGCCTCAAGGACTTGGGCCATCCTCCACTTCTTTCCCAGGCCACAGTCAGGGAGCTGGATGAGCAGTGGAGCGGCTGGAACTCTAACCAATGCCCAGAGGGGAAGCCACAAGTGTCTTGACCCCCTGCACCACAACGCTGACCTTTACATAGTTGATTCTGACCCTGAACAGGCCTCTCAGTTCTCTCAGGGGGGCAGCTCTAACCGCCTCCATCTCCCCCAAGCCCTGTTTCTCACACCCATGCCTGTACCCCTGGTATAGCTGTGGTGCCCAGTGTGCCGCCTTGTCCCCAGGCACATCCTTGGGCCATTAGCCTTGCCCAGCCAACATCACAGCCTGGACTCAGCAGCGCCTGCCAAGCCCACCACCTGCTTCCAATTAGTCCCCAGGCCCTGAGCATCTCGCTGGGCAGGAAACCGTGTGCATGGAGGGGCCCCCGGCGCAGCCAGGGCTGGGCTGGGCACGGCTCCAGGCCCCCAGAGGACTCCTCTGTTGCCAGGCCTCCAGGCTTCCCAGACCTGGCAGGCTACAGCCCCGACTCAGGCACGAGACCCAAGTCTGTCTGTCTGCAGTAGCAGACAACCCCACACCAGGGCTGGAGCCTGCACAGATCCTCTGGCCCCAGAGAGGCTGTGACATCACCAGCCAGAGGCACTGCACCCCCTGGCAGGGTGTGACAAGTGTGGGGCGCGTGTGAGTTCTGGGGAGGCCTGGTCCCTGGCTGTCACCAGGCCTGGGCATCCAGTCTCCTGTCTCGGCCCCAGCAACAGACTTGCTGGAGCCCCTGTGGGGCTCCATGGGATGAAGCCTCAGACTGTGAGTGTGTGTGAGAGAGAAAGGATGTGTGTGTGGATATATGTGTGGGTTTATGTGTGCGTGTGCCTGTATGTATGTACATTTGTGAGTATTTGTGTGTATGCATGAGTATATGTGCTTGCGTATGTTAAGTGTGTGCATTTGTATGTGCATGAGTGTGTGATGTGTGTTTATGTGTGTATGTAATGTGTGTGGCATATGTGAAAATATTTGAGAGCGTGTGTTGGCTCATCTGTCCAGGAGGGTCCCCTCCCTGCTCCAGCACCGGAAGTTCTTGCAGCCAGTGGCTTGGAAACCGTTACTCTATTCTCCTTCGAGGTTGGGGCTGTGGGGAGGACCCTGCAGAAGCAGGGCATTTTGGCTCTCAGTCCTGGGGTTCGGGGCACACTGCCTTCTCAGCCACCAAGGCCTGCCGGCCATGTAACAACACCCCTATCCTGAAAACCCGACCTCCAGCCCTGCCTGCAGCCTGGAGAGGACAGGGTTGGGGGGGGCAGCCTGAGCTGTCATTTCTCAGGAGCTGCTGAGTGGGGGTTAGGGAGGTCTTTGAGGCTGGGGGTCGGGGTGCTCTCCGTCTCCCTGAAGACCCTGTGACCAGACCAGGGACAAAGTGAGCCCCTGGCGAAGAGTGGGCTGCAAGAGTCGGTCAGCCACCTAGCAGTGGGAGGGTTAGGGTCCCCCCACGGGGGGGGGGGGACAGGAGAGCCCAGGAGCTGCCCCACCCCCACTCGGCCCCTCTCCGAAGCGTCCTGGAGGAGGAGGCCCTCGCGGGCTGGGCGGGGGCCGGGGAAGGCAGATGTGTAGGCGGCCGCACAGCTGGGAACAATCAGCCGCTACCCGCGCCCCTCCGCCCCGCACTTTCCCGCTTGCTCGGGAGAACAAAGCCGTCCCCTCCGTCCCCCGACGCCCCAGGCGCGGGCTACCCCGACCCCCGGGCTGGGCGCTCTCCAGGTGCCCCCTTCACATCTGCTCCGATGGCCTCGCGATCAGGGTCCCGCAGCCGCCCCGGCCCTCGGGGAGACCCCTCGACGTCCCCGCCCGAGCCCCGAGCCCCCCAAGCGCCAGGCCCGCGCCTACCTGTCCGGGTCGCTCCACCACCCGCTTCGAGTCCGCCACGGAGCCGCCCCTGGGCCCGCTCCGAGCCCCCCTCCGGGCCCCCGACGGGCCGGCGCCCGCCCTCCAGCGCCAGAGCCGCTGGGTCCTAACGCGAGGCGCAGCCCGGGCCGCCAAGCCGCCCATCGGGCTTCACCCTGGGACGGTGGGGGGTGGAACCCTGGGGAGTAGCGCCCAAGGGGTTCCCCTCCCTCCCAAACACGCAGCGCTTGGTCTGGCCTGCAGGGATGGCCCAGGTGGCCCTTAACCCTTTGAGCCCGGGGAGAGAGGAGAGGGGCCAGGGTAAGGGTCCATGGGCTGGCAATGAGGCTTGTGCCCCTCTAGTCTCTGGCATCTTCACATTCAGGCCAGGGGCGACTCGGCCTCCGGGGTGTGCTAACCCAGTACCCCTCGTCCCCGCTGCACTGCCCACTTCAGACAAGGTTTGGCGTACATCTACCACCAGCTGTGTGGCCACAGGTTACATGGGGGCTGATGATGCCAAGGCACAGCAAATCGCATCAACCAGTCCCGGGGCAGGTGCTTGGCTAGCTCTGTGGCACAGTGGATGAAACCGTCATCTATATAATACATTCCATATGGGTGCACGTTCATGTCCTGGCTGCTCCATTTCTGATCCAGCTCCTTGCTAATGCACCTGGGAAGGCAGCAGAAGATGACTTTAGTGTGGGCTCCTGCATCCATGTGGCGGACGTGGAGGAAACTCCTGGCTCCTAGCTTAAGCCTGGCACATTCTGTGGCCTGTTGCAGGGTAAGCCAGTGAGTAGAAGATCCTCTCTCTCTGCCCTTCTCTCTTGCAACTCTTTTAAAAAAATCTGCTTGGCATACTGGCATCCCAAATTGTGTTTGAGTCCTGGCTCTGCCCTTGAGTGGGAAGTTCCATCTTCCTGCTAATGTGTGCATGTTAGGGGACAGGCGGTGTTGGCTCCAATGCTTGGGTCCCTGCCACCTGCATGGGAGACCCAGATAGAGCCCCTGGCCCTGGTAGGCATTTGGGGAGTAGCCCATGGGATGGAAGAATTCTTTTGTCTTTTTCTGCCTCTCAAATAATCATTTTAAAACAAAGAAAATCAGAAAAACAAAAGCTGTACCCCTGTGCAAGTCCACCTCCTGCCAGCCTTGGTTTGGGCCCTGGCAGGGGTAGCCCTTCTACCCTCCAGCCCACCTTCTGAGCCTGCCACATTCACTTCCTTTGCTAGCTTGCCTGCTGTGCCCACCAGAGTGTGAGCTGTCAGCGTCTTGCCTGGGCACCAGGGGCCATCAGCCTGGGCCTCCCCTACTCTGGTCAGAGCCCACTTACACTCTGAACCGGCCACTAACTCCCCCTAGTGCTTATATTTTTCTTTCTTTTTTTAAAATATATTTTTGACAATCTTTACATAGTTAATTAGGGTGAAAAGGTTCAAGGGCTACAGGAAAGTGGGTAAGACTACTATTTCCACATTATTTCCTTCACGTATCTGAGGTAAAGGGGAATATTAAGGGAAAAGCCCCACCCAGTCTCCCACCCACCCCAGGTCCCTGATGTGGGGCATGCTCCGAGGGTCTTGCTCAAGTGGTTTTGGTAGTTCAATAGTTATGAATTGCTGCCAATCTTGCCACTCCAAGCACGATGAGGTCGTTGAAGAATCCACTGATTGACATAGTACATCAGAGTCTCTGTTTGCCCAGTTTTTCACTGCCAAAATATGGCTGAGGTGGTTGATTGACTTGTTCTGTCCTCTGACTTTTCATGGTTAGGGTTCTGAGTCCGGCAGTTGGATTGGGGAGATCCCCAAAGAAACTTTGTCTGAGGTGTTCCCAGACCAGATTCTTGTATGTGCTAGCAAGTACAGGGCCCGGCACAGTCCATTGCCTTAATCGGCTGCTGGTTGCAATTGCTGGGTTGGTTCTGTTTCCAGCCCTGACTTACACTGGGACCAACGGGTGTTGCAGTCCAGCTTGGTTCTGCCCAGCACATCGTCAGCCCTTGCATAAACCAGTGGGAGCTGCAATCTAGTCGGATTGACCCACAATAACCCCCACCAGACCTGCCCCCTACCCTGGTTTGCCAGTATGTGTAGCAGACTAGTCCAGTCTGTCCTGCATCCCATTTGGCTCTCATACATGTCAACGGGTATTAAAGCCTAGTTCCATCTAACCAGCTCAACTATCCAGCCTTCACCGATGTTGTTGGGTGCCTCTCTGTCTAGCCACCCCAGCCCCTGTTCTAGTTTTTGTGCCCTCCCGTGGTAGTGGTAACTCAAGAGGGAGGAGCCCACTATTTCCCTCCCAGGTCACTCCCACTCCCGGATTATGTACTCTACAGGGGGTTCTGTGGTTTAACTTGACAGAATTAGCCCCCAGTGCCAGCTTCTGCCAGCTGATGCTGTGGCTAAGCCCAAACAACCCTCACCCACTCTAATTTTGTTTGCACCAGTAGGATCAGCCCAGCCTGGCTTTTCCCTGATCTAGTCCACATGAGGCCCACAGATGTAGCCCTGCTTAGTCTGGTCTGTCCCCATCCCAGCTCATGCTCTCCAGTGGGAGTAGCTGTCCAGCAGGGGACACCCCTTGTATTCCCCCTGCCAGCTCCGCCCCCTCCCTTCCTGGTTCTCACGTGTGCTGTTGGGTGCTACAGTCACATCCGGTACAGGCAACCTCACCTTGGCATTCCATGTTGTGCACTGGATTTTGTTGCAACCGAACCTGGCTTGACCCACACTTTGTCTGGTACTCAGATTCGCCAGTGGATGACATGAACTGATTCAGCCTGGTCTGCCCCTGAACCATGCCAAATGTATGCCAGTGGGAAACTTTTCATGGCCTGTTCTGGGCTGTTTCCTATCATGCTTCTTGTGCTTACCTGCCGGGTCTGTGTCCTGCCAGAGGAGTTGCCCAGGCTCCTCCATCAGAACCCCTCCCAATGCCAGATTTCACGCATACCGGTCCGTGAGCCAGCCCTACTCAGTCCACCTCCTGTCCTAGCAGGAACAGTGGCTTTTCCTGACTGGCCTTCAACCCAATCTGGTTCTTGCTGCTGGATGTTTCAGCCCATCCACAGCTCGTCCATACCCACATACAGCGCACACATGGCTCAGAGGGATTGAGACCTAGCCTAGTCCGTTCCACACCTACCTGGTCCTCCAGAACACCAGATGGTGTTGGAATCTGGCCCAGCTTGGTGCATCCAGTTCCAGTCCATACTTGTGCCAAGGGAGACTACAACCATCTCTTGATCAGAATGCAGCCCCCATCCCAGCCCACATGCCCCTCGGTGGGAACCTTAACCCAGCTGGGGTGTCCCCTTAGCTCCCCAACCAGGCCTGTTCCCAGCCATAGATCATGCTCATGCCAGTGGTTGCTCTGACTCAGCTTGGCAGAGCCCCTCACCTGTCCCGACCCCTGCCTTAAACACTGTGGCTTAGCGTTACAGGCTCACGCAGACCAATAAGTGCAAAAACCTAGCTCAGCATGCCCTGTGCTCCGTCCTGGTTTCTAGTTTTGCTTGTGAGCTAAGGTTTGCTCAGTTCTGCCTGGTCCACTCTGTTCCATTACCAATTCACGCATTGGCCAGCTGTTGGAGCTACTTTGCCCAGCTTGTCCAACCCTCAGGTCTGGACCACAGGTTCACCAGCGGGAGTTATGACTCACCAGGGGGAGTTTGCCCAAGTTCCTCCACTTGACCCACTCCCAGACCCAGTTCTCATACATGCCATTGGGTTTTAGGCCAGTGCCTGGAGTAGTCTGGCCTTCCATTTGGCCTTGTATGAGCTGGTGAACGTTGCAGCCTGCCCACTCCACACCCTATTTCAGGATGCACATTTGGGAGCTGCTGCCTTGACCAGTCCAGACTGTTGTCAGTTCCTTTACCTGTGATTGATGGCAGGTTCCTTGGTCATTCCTAGGTTAGTCTATCACTGCCCCAACTCTTGAGCTAACCAGTGGGGCTAGAATTTCCACAGGGTTTGGCCCACACATCCCCCACAGAATCTATCCCCGGATATGGTTCTCTCGAGTGCTAGTTAATGTCATGGCCCTGCCTAATGTGACCTGTCTCCTGATCCATCATCATGTCAGGTAATAGGATATGATCCTGCTAGACAAGTCCCAAGCCTTAGCTTTTGCATGGACTGGTGTTCGGTGGTCAGCATTTTTCAGCATTTCTTTAAAGGAAAGGTTACTCTGTTGTCGGGAAACTTCAGGATTGGTTTACATCCCAGAAGCATAGTGGGTTCAACATGGAGCTAACTAAGCAGCGATTCAAAGAACCAAAACCCCAGAGCTCATGGCCAGCGGCCAGCAGGCAGAAGAGACTGGAGCCAAATGGCACACTGGCCACCCGGGGACAGCTCACCACGTGCACACAGTGGTTGAAGTCAGGGATCCGAGCAAGGAGACGCCCCGGCTTGGCATCCACCAGCAACCGGCAGGCTGCCGGAAGTTTCAACCCCCAGGACCAAGGTCGTGCCCCTCCCCAATCCCATCCCCCACTCAATGATGGCAGCGGGTGGGCCCCAGGCCTGCCCAGCCCCCGAGACATCCTCCCCTCGGTGTGCACACCCCTAAGGGAGCAGCCCCTGGAGTCCAGACAACCCCAGGGAAAGGCAGATTTACAAAAAGGAGAGATGAAGAGAAAGATGTGTCTGGTCTGCTGGTTCATTCCCTGAAGGCCGCAATGGCCAGAGCCAAGAGCCAGGAGCCACCTCTGGGTCTTACATGTGGGTACAGGTTCCTAAGGCTTTGAGCCATCTTCTGCTGCTTTCCCAGACCACAGGCAGGGAGCTGGATGGGAAATGTAGCAGATGGGACATGAATTGGTGCTCATATGGGATCCTGGTGCTTACAAAGTGAGGATTAGTCAACTGAGCCATCGCATCACAACTCCTCTCCTTCCCTCCAGCCCCTCCCAACCCCTGCTCAGTGCTTTGGATCAGAGCTAAGCACTCCCCCTCCCGGCCTCTCCTGCCATCCTGCCTTCACTGTTACTCTTCCCCCTGCTGCCATGGGACCTTTGCTCAAGCCGTTCCATCTTGGGTCGC